CCTGCTGCTGCAGCAGCAGCAGCTGCTGCTGCTGCAGGGACCCAACGTATGGACACAGCAGCAGGTGACACAGCGAACAGCGTCTTAGACACGCTTTCTGATCTTCATGAGCGGCTTTGTGTTCTGTTGGACGTGACAATGCGGCAGCACAGCGAGCAGCGACTGCTGCTGCAGTCCATTAGCACACTGCAGCAACAGCAGCAGCAGCAGCAGCAGCAGCAGGCCCTCGAGCATGACGACCGCTCTCTGCTACTCCTGCGTAACCCGCTGGCCTCTGCCCTTCAGACGAGCCGGATCTCGGAATTAGAGCAGCACCAGCTGCAGCAGCTGCAGCATCTGCAGCAGCAACAGGAACTGCAGCAGCAGCAACAGCAACTGCAGCAGCTGCAGCAGCAGCTTCAGCAGCAGGTCAAGTGCGACATCGCCGCAGCGTCTCCTGTATCGCACCGCAACCATCGCCCGCAACAGCCGCCGACGCCGCAACAGCAGCAGCAGCAGCAGCTGGAACAGCAGCAGCAGCAGCAGCAGGTAGAGCAACAGGTGCGGCAGGCGCAACAGCACTCCCTTTGTTTGGATACGCAGCTGCTGGGCCTTGCTGCTGGGCTGCAGGTGGGCAACGTGCCTGCAGCAGCGCTGCAGCACTACTTGCTGTCGCAGGCGGGGCTGCTTCCGCCTCCGCGAACCCCCACAGCAGCAGGAACTGCTGCTGCAGCGCAGCAGGCGTTTGCTGCTGCGTTTACTAAGGGCGAAGCAGCAGCAGGCGCAGCTGTTGCTGCTGCTCCTGCTGATGGCGCCCTCAAGCAGCTCAAGAGCTTCCCGGTTAAGACAGGAGAGTACCGCAGGAAGACAGCGCAGCAGCAGCAGCGGGGTGCTGCTGGAGCGTCCAGCGGTGCCACTTCCCCCCAGCATCGGCAGCAGCAGCAGCAGCAGCAGCAGCTCCTGCGCCTCACGCCAGCTTCTGTTCGACGGCTTCATGACCACCGCCTGGCCTTGCTGCAGCAGGAGCAGCGCCGCAGCAGCAGCAACAGTAGCAACAACAGCTGTTCCCCTCCTGCTAGCAGCAGTCACCGGTCTAGGGGTAAGCGTGCACGGTTTGCTGCTGCCGCTGCTGCTGCGGTTGCGGATGCTTGAACTCCATCTTCTTGTTGCTGTGGCTACGCCAGTGCGGATCTTGCAGTTTTGCTGTGTGTTTTGCCATTGCTTTTGTTGCTGCTGCTCTTTGCGCTGCTGTTGCTGCTGCACGAGCAGCCGTTGCTGTAGCCTGCTCCTTCGCAGCAAACGTCGAGCATTGCGTCTGGCCTGCCTCTTTGTGTGCTGCTGCTGCAGACAGCGCAACGTCTCCATCACCGCAGCCGCATCAGCAGCAGCAGCACTGCGGGGGCTCTTCTACTTCTGTTTACAGCAGAGGCAGCAACGCGCAGCACCTGCACGACCCATACCCTCACAGGTGCGTTGCGTTACTGCTACTGCTGCTGCTGCTTCTGCTGCTCTTTGTTGCCGGCTCTTCTTGTTGAGCTTCGCTGTGGTTTATGTGACGGAGTGCTTCTTGCTTATTCTGATCTCTGTGGCTGTGGCAGCATCTGTGGGTCTCCGCTTCTGCTGTTTGATTTGCTGCTTTACTGTATATGTTTCAGCTTGCTTCGCATTTGCTGCTGCCAATATTGCCTTCTTTGTAGTTTTTGTTTGCTTTGTTCTGGCATCTCTCCGTGTCCGTTTGCTGCTTTCCGTTGCATGGGTTTGGCCGCTTGCTGCTGCTGTTGTTGCTGCTGCAGCACGATGATCCAGTTGATTCAGCCGTTGCCGACGGGAATAAAGCTGGAGCTGAAGTCGCACAAGGCTGTGAAGTCCGGGGGCTGCGGCGGCGGGGCTGAGGGGGGCCCCCTGGGGGCCCCCGGGTGCTGCCCGGCGCCCCGCGAATACGCCCTGCGGGTCTCACTGACACGACACGAAACCAAGTACTGCTCCTTCCACGCGTTGCACGGCATTTTGCCTGCATACAACGAGGCCGTGAGGCTGCGGAATCGGTACGCGGGGCTCCCGTTTCAGCTGCCGCTGATAACTGAAGCGGTGCTGCGGGACCGGAAGCAGCTGCTGGACGAGGGGAAGCCGCTACCGCTCTTCGGGCCCAAGGAAGCATTCATGACGGTTCAGGAAAGAACTATTTTCTACAAGCAAGGCAGGCTGGAGGCGAGCGCCCACGAGCAGCGGGCGCCCTCTCCGCATGCTGCACAGCAGCAGCAGCAAAGCAGCATCAAGTCTGAGTCCATCAGAGACGACCCGGAGGCCACTTCAGCTCTCAGGGGGCTTGCAGTCTTTGCGCCGCCACCTGCGGGGGCTGCAGTTGCTGCCTCCAGTGTTGGTGCTGCCCTCCAGCAGCAGCAGCAGCAGCACATGGGCCGCGGCAGCAGGAAGAGGCAGCGGGATCTTCTTACTGCCGCAGCAGCTTCCACAGAAACTGCAGCTAACGCCGGAGGCCTGAAAGCTAGGAAGCCCGAGCGACGGCCTTCTTCGGGAGGCGGGGGTCCCCAAGGGCCCCAGGGGGCCTCCCACTCAAGACGGGCGGATGACGGAGGGGTGCCTCCCCGTGCGGGTAGCAGCAGCAGCAGCAGCAGAAGCAGCAGCATGCTTGCGGATGGGGTTGCAGAGGCCTTGCTGAACTTCCCAGCAGCAGCAGGAAGCAGCAGCAGCCTGCTAGAACCTGTTTTGGGACCCCTGGAGGCCCCGTCTCCCACCCGCACAAACAAAGAAAGCGAATATGGTTTGCTAACTACTCAGCAGCAACAACAGCTGACTGATGAGAGGTCTCGCAGCAGCAGCTGTGAAGCTGGAGAGGCCCCCATGCTGCCAAAGACCACAGAAAGTGTTTCATCTGTGTCTTCGGGGGCGCCCGCGGATTGGGGGCCTCACCAGAGTGTTGCTGCAGACATTGCTGCTTCGCTGGGTCTTCCTTTGGAGGAATTGGCAGCGCGGCTTTCTCATTTCATCAACAAGGCCGACGGCAGAGCAGCAGCAGCAACAGCAGCAGCAGCAGGTACCGTGGGCAGCGATCGAACAGGGGGCGAGCCTTCTTCTCTAACGTCCTCTAATTCAGGAGCCTTCCGTTAGATATTGGAGGCCCTCAGGAAGCCAGCCCACTTGGGGGCCGCGCAGAGGCCCCCATGGAGGCCCCTGAGGGGGCCCTGAGGGGCCTCTCAACTGCTTGCATGCATTTGGGAGGCCCTTCGCCCCTCTCGCATCACCGCCGGCGTGCCCTTGGCATGGGAAGTGCATGCATCTGCGCATCTAGGTGCATGCAAGTGGTGTTTTGTATGTGCTATACGTTTTGTATATCGTATGTATTGGTGCCTGCGTGTGTATATACTATGCATGCGTGCATGCATGCATGCATGCATGCACTCGTGCATGCGCGCATGCAGGGAGGGGGCTCTTGCGATGAGACTCCATCAAGTGCACCCAGGGACGCCTCGTAGCAGCAGCCACACAGGGACGGGCGGCAGACGGACTCTTTGTGCTTATGCAAGCGTGCTTGACTGTGTATGGAAGTGCGTGCACATGTATTTAGACCTTCATCTTCTACCTGTGCCATCTGCATGCATACATACACTCACGCATGCACGCGTGCACCTGTGAACACGCGCAACTGCCTGGCTACTGAATTTATTAGATGGCTGGATGCGTGCAGGTGTATGCACTAAGTACATGCATGCATGCAAATGCGGTTTGCACCCGTAGTTATGGTTTGCATGCATTTTTGCGTGGAAGTCTGTGCGCTATTTCGTTGAGTGTACGTAACCACTTCTGTCCCGTGTGCACATTTGGGGCTTTATTGGCTTATGGGCCCTCGAGTGAAGCGCCCGCGTATCTTTCGGGTCTTTTCTCTTAGTTGAATTTCTCCCGTCGTGGGGAATAGAGAAGACGCCGAGCTTGGGCGGTTCGTGCGACTTACGGGGCCCCCACACAAGGGGGCCCCCACAGCGTGAGAGGTGCTTCTCCAGTTTCAGGGGGGCCTCCACTCGACTAAGTTACGCACCGCCACTTGTGTGCCCCCTCTGCCGTCCCCAGGAACTTGAACAGCTGCAGCAGCTGCTGCTGATGGCGCTGCAGCAGCGGGTCCAGGGGTTTATTCTATCGAGGGGTACTACTGGTGAGGTTGCTATTGGTGAGGGAACGCACAAAGGGTATTCGAAAGGGGCCTCAAAAGGGGGCCCCCAATTGAGCCCCTTAAGGTGCGACTTACTGTGGGGAAGACGCGGTCGTGCCCTGGCATTATTTGGCCGATCGCAGCAACAACATCAGCAAGGCAGCAGGGGCGGCTCAAGCGACTTCTGCAGCTGTTGGTGTTGCTGCAGCAGCAAAAAGGGAATTGTGGCGTTCTGCCCAAACTATTTTCTGTCTCTTGATTGATCTTTGAACGGAGTGGATCTATGGGTTTGTCACTTTCTTCTCAGCTCTTTCCTACTGAACTAGACTGTGGCTCTTGCATTGCTTTTTGGTTCTTTTTTTTGCGATATGCTGCAGCAGCAGCAGCTTCTCCCGTTAGCGGACAGCGGCGTGCATGCGTCCCGCTGGCACTGCGAGACACCAGTGGCACAGCTAGGGTCACTTCAGGTAGCCCCGAATTGTTCTAGCCCAGTACGGGCACCGCCAGTTAGCGTGTAGCCGGAGCCTCTGTAGACTCTAGTTATGGCAGTATGTCGATATTGGCTGCGGCCACAGCGTAACGGCCGGACTATATAGTCTACTCGCAAGTTCTTAAGGCATTTCTTTGTAGGGTACTTCCTGTTCTCTAGGTCCTATACCTTGAGCACTACCGCCCTGAGGCCCACTCTGGCAGCCAGTGCCATTCGCGCAATTATGGAGGACACGCAGACTTATTAAATACGAAAAGTCCACTGCAGCTGCTCCAGAGCTGCTTGGGGAATGCCCCACAGTGCACCGTGGGAAACACACGGGCGCGGCCGATACGGCAGCAGAATGGAAACAGCAACAACACCCTACGCTCACTTGTCCTTGCCCACCAGCTTGCTCTTCCGCCCACCGCGCAACAGACCCGTGCGCCTGGCAGCAATAAGACCCACCTTCTGGCCTGAAGACAGCAGCAACAGCACCAGCAGCAGCAGCTCAGTGCGGCACCCTGGGAGCCCCACGCGGCACGCAAGCTATTTGCCAGCGAAAGCCACACCCAAAACCCTGCAACCCATTTAACTGATACACTATTTTTGACATTTTGCTACCCCACACAGCCCCATGCATGCAGCCAGCAGCTGCAGCACACTGGCACGTTCAGCCACAGCGAACCTGGAGGCGCAGTCCGAGACACAGTCGAGGGGTGGCCAATGTGCTGGTGGTTACCACCACCGTGAGGATGCTCCACGGGGTTCATCGCCACACCCCTCACCTTAGGCCAGCAGTTCCTCTTGGCCTGAGCACCGCAGCACAGACAAAGACACAGCCAACTACTTAGACAACAGCTAGCTAGGTAGCTAGCCGCCTGGCCAGCTAGCCAGCTACACATCTGGCTGCGTACGCCAATCTAAGAGTGGAGCTCCTCTTCAATCTAAAAATGTTGTATTATCTCATTTTCCTAAATACCCCACTCGTTTAGTCGTGAATTCCCATTAGCCTTCCACTGTTTCTCTTTTTCCCCTTTGGTCTGTTTAACTAAACCATATCTACTATTTTATTTTGCCAGTTTCAACTTCGCGATTCTTCACAATCAGCTTAGACTCGCCCCGGGCCCCTCCTTGCCCGTTTCTACCAGCCTCTGCGCCTCTACCCCAACCCCTCAGCCTCTAAAGCCTAAGCCTGGCTTTGGTCCGTCTACGCCGCGCCGCGGCCAGCAGCAGCAGCCCTCTCTACAAGCAGCAGCAGCAGCAACAGCAGCAGCAACAGCAGCAGCAACAGCAGCAGCTCGTACCTTGTACTTGTGGTAGGCCGTGCCCGCCTTCAGCAGGGGCTTGTCTATACGGCCCCCACCAGCCACCAGCCCTATGATGCACCGCGAGCGCGAGGGCAGCGTCTTGCGGGCGCCGGAGGGCAGCCGCACGCGGGTCTTGCCGGTTTCTTCGCTGTGACCTGCCAGCAGCAGCAGCAGCAGCAGCAGCAACAGCAGCTGTAGGGGTAGTAGCAGCAGAAGTGCTGCGGCGGAACTAGAGAACACACTCGGGGATGGCGGGCAACAAAGGCAGCGACCGATACGGAGTAAAGACAGTCAGATAGCAGCAAATAAAAAGCAAAAATGCAAATGACACAAGAAGAGAGGTTCCAGAGGAAAGCAAATTCAAGGACGAAAGAGAAGCAAAAAGGACTCACCAACCACAGTAGCGAAGGACCCGGAAGTCTTGGCAATGGTGCCTCTGTCTCCGGCCTTCTCCTCCACAGAGCAAACCACTGTACCCTCTGGCACCTTTCCGAGAGGCAGCACATTTCCGATGGTCAGGTCGGCTGCGGGCAGGCAGCAAAGACACAGCAGCACACACTGCAGCAGCGGCAGATACTGCAGCAGCAGCTAACTGGCCGCTGCTGCTGCTCCGTCCCCATAGAAACGCGGCAAGCGCAGTCATTGTCAAGCGCAAGATACAAGCAGCAAAGCAATACGACACAATCCGCGCTGCAGGCAGAGCCAACAGACCCCGCAGCAGCAGCAGCAGCAACAGCAGGTACCTTTCTTGCCGCAGTGGATGAACTGGCCAGTGTGCAGCCCCTCCACAGCCAGCATCGTCTCCTTGTTGATTCTGTAGCGATAAGCATCACGGAAGGAAACAACAGCAAGAGGAGCGCCGCGGCCGGGGTCGTGCTGGATGGAAGTCACCAGCCCTGCGCAGCCCACCAAGCAGCAACTCAAGAATTTTTTGTTGAATATCTAGCAAATAAATAATAAATATATAAATATACTTATTCCCATTCAACATAGTTGTAGGTGTACACACAGACCCGCATAGCCATGCATACAACACACAAATGCCTATGCTGCAAACGGAAACGCCGCATTAGCGCAGGCGACCAGCAGATGCTGTAGCTTCAGCCATATTCAGATGCAGCAACAGCAACAGCAACAGCCACAGCGTCAGCATGCAGCCAATCGCAACACACGCGGCGCCGGTGCAGCGGCTGCAAGCTGCTGCAGCGGAGGCGCAGCGGCTGTAGAAAGCCCACCCTTGATGTAGCCGTTCCTCTCTGCATAGTCCAGAGCGCGGAGCTTGGCAGCCCCCTTTCTCTTGTGGGTGTGGGCCCTGAACACGGACCCGCGACCCTTACGTTGTGCTGCAGCACAAAGCAACAGCAGCAGCACGCTAAGCTGCAACGGCGCGGGAGATTCTAAACGCAGCTAAATGCAAAATCAAACGCCGCTAAGCAAGCTGAATAAGGCTAGGAAGTGCACGGCCAGCTCCCTGTTGCCGCTACTATTTCTGCTGCGGCCGCTGCTGCTGCTGCTGGGCGTTGCCTCTGCCCCGAATCAACCCAAAAGACTGAAGTGGCAAGAGAAAAAGACAAAAAATCAGCAAACGAGTGCTGGAGCTGGCTAGCAGCAACGAAAACAGACTGGAAGGGTGAACAGGCAGAAGTGTGGGGGGCCACGGGAGGCTTACAGCGGATGACGCGTCCCATCTTCCTGCTGCTGCTGCTGCTGCTGTTACGAGCGCTAAATCAGCTACCTATGCAGCAACAAAACAAACGGCTTCTGCCACCAAAACCCACCGTCAACTCCCCCTCATGCATAAGCCAAACAAGCATCGGCAGCTGCTGCTGCAACGGGGGCTTGTGCACCCCTCCTTGCGGGGCTGGGGCAGTAGCCGCTGCTGCGGCTACTGTTTTCGCTGCTATTGCAACTGCTGCTCCGGGTTGCAGCGTCCTGAAAGGAAGATAATACCAAATTTTAAATTAAGACCTGCTCAACTTTTATGTGTAGCTGCAGCAGCATTCTTCCACCCTGTATCTGTAAACAGCAGCAGGGCAGCAGCCGAGCACAATGAACAGCCAGCGCCGAACGGCAGCAGCCACGGTAGTAGCCCCAGTTGCTGAGCAGCAGAGCCAGGTTGTGGCCTAAAGACAGAAGCCCCCAGCTAAACTAGAATAATTATAATACTAAAGCAAATATCATATTTTCTCTATAAACCGAAGTTGTACCTACACTTGGCGGCGCAACCATGGCTTCCTGGATGGCCAGCAGCTGCCGCGAGCTGCAAGAAGGCGACGGCCTGCGTCGTTTGATTAACAAAGGATACAAAAGAGAGGAAAGGGCTACAGGATATTTGCCCCGAAATAAAGAATCTCCGTTTGGCGACTTCCCCAGGGGGCCCCGGGGTTCCGCGAGATGCATAGAGAGCCCATACGCAGCCACTGCCTCAATTAAGCCTCTCACCAAATTCAACGAGAGAGAGTCTTTAGCGCGCAGCAACGTGAAAGGTCGCTAAGCACCTCAGGCTCCGCTGCCTCAGCAGCAACAGCAACTGCTAATACTAGGGAAACTGGTGCTGTTGCATCCACGCCTGTAGAAGGCCTTATATATTAGGCTACTAGGAGTTGCTCAGCAGCTAGAAACTGCTACTAATAAAGCGGTCGCTGTTAGAATTGATGCAGCTAGAGCTGAACCTCTTAGGGACTTTGGCCCTTGTAGGAATGGCGTTGTTTTTTCAGTGGTCGGTGCTGCTTCCGCTGCTGCCGTTTGCTGGGGCACTTCATGTTGTAGAAAGTTTTGCCGTTGCTATTCTTGCTGCTGTTCCACTGCTGGCAGTGTCGCTGCTACTGCTGCTGCTGTTGCTCCTGTCTTGTCTCAGCAGCCACTAAGAATGCTGCGGTAGCTGCTGGTTGTGTTGCTGCTGCCGGTGCTGCTTCGAGCCTTCGGAAGCAGAGGCTCCTTAGTTCACTTCTGCCAGCTATTCGCTGCATCCGACCAGCACCTCAACCTGTACAGACGCGTTTAGCAGACATCCAGCGGGAAACTTTGCTGCTATTGCTGCTGCTGCTGCTGCTGCAGGGGGAGCTGGAGGGTATAAAGATGCAGGGGGTCAAATGAGGTGGGCGCGGAGTCAGCCATTGCCGCCCAAAGCAGGTAGCTGTTGCTGAGTGCTACTTGGGGTGCACGGTCACGGCAAAGAAGGCCTAGCTGCCGCTTCTCAGTTGTTTGTTGTTTTGCTTCATTCCATGTCTTTCTAAAACTAGCAATTTGTTCTTTTCTCCTCCAAATGTGGCTCCTTGTGCTGCTTTTCCTGCCTCTAGATTTCATTTCACTTTGCACCATGCCGAAGTCCCTGTTCTTCTCTGTTGGGCTGTTCTTAGGGGCCTTCCGTCGCCGGCAAATCGAGCCAACTCTGTTTCGTTTTTACTATGACAGAGGAGACATTCCCTTATCTATAGACCACACAGCATCAGGTCCGCCTGTCGCAGCCATTTTTTTGGCTCTGTCTCTTCATCTGTGCTGCCCGGGCTACCTGCCTCTTCTCTCCAAACTCGTGGTTCATTCTGTGTTTCTCTTTGTGCCTTTAGCTCTCTTCGCCCCTGCTGTGCTTCTGGTTGCTTCCGTATCTGCTGCTTCCCTTCCCCTCTTGCTTTGCCTTTTGTGTCTCGTTTCTCCCTTTTCCCTTCTGCTTTTCTTCTCTTTTTTTCTCACCTGATCTGCTTCTAAAGAAGCTCGGCAGTCTTTTTCTCTTTTCTGTTGTCTTAGTCTCTGGTTCAAAGCGTCTCGCGCTGGCGCGCTTCTAGCTAGTTGCATAGCTAGCTGGTAGCGGGCAGGTGGCTGGCCCCTCGCCAGGCTGGCTGGGGCCTCGTTTGGGTAGCTGTCAATTCACGTGCCTAGCTGTCGATTCACATGGGCAGCTGGGCTAGCTGTGGGACCCCGGCCTTCTTCCGCAGGCAACAAAGTCTCCTGGGCAGTGCCCCCCTCCTCAGTAGACTTCCACCGCTATCTTCCCATTTTCTGCGACGGCATTCGAGAAAAAGATGACCCTTACAGGCTCCTTGCAGTGCAGGGGGTAACGCCCACCCACATTTTCGCAGGCCAGCCAGCTGGCTAGCTGAGTGGCTAGCTACCCAGCAGCATAGCCCTCCTGAAGATGCAGCTAGCCCACAACCACCGAAGGAGTTTGCCACAGAGCTAGCTAGCTAGCCGGCTAACCCCATAGTGCTAGCCGCGCGTCCCCGCACCTAGGCGGTGGCATAATCCGCCTCCTCCGCTGCTGGCACCGCAAGAGCTGAGCCCTGAGCTAGCCACCAAGACGTCCCGCAACAGGACCAACCTAGGCTGCCGCCGCACTGCGAGCAGCGGCCTTTGCTGTTGCATGCGTCTTCAGAGGCAGCTTGCTTAGCTGGCTCTCTAGTGTCTGCTAAGTTTGGGGGGCCTGCTCATTGCCTAGAGGCTTGGGGTGCAGTGGGCTTGGGGCGGATGTTAAGATTCTAAATTTGAAGTGGCCACTTGACTTCAAATTCAGAAAGTTAATATGCACCATATCAGTGTGGGGAACTGTGTGCAGACGCACGATCTGCTTGAAGCCAGCGGAAAGAAGGCGGTGACTGTCATCCCACAACTCATCATGCCGTTAAAGACAGCCCTCAATACCCGAGATCCCGAAGTGGGCATTTTTGCTTCATCTTTTCGTTGCGGCTGCCCAAAGCTGCTTCTCTGCACGTTCTCGCCCCCAAAGTCACTTTTTTTGGCTCTGTTTGCTGGAGCTACCTCTTTCTGTCTTGTTTCCCCCATCAGCCTCTTATTGGCCTCTCTTTTTCTGTTTTTCTTGGTTTTCTTCTCTACTACTGCTCCCACTGGCCAATGCCGACGTCTGTCTATCTGCATACACTTCTGCATCTCTGCCCTTGCCTATATTATCTTCTTTTCAGCTTTTACGTGTCGGCATACGTCTTGTGCAGTTGCGTGGCTGCAACGGGGTTTCTGCCCATATCGTCTACTACTTTGCCTTTTTTTCCGTTAAATCTTGCATTGCTCTCTGTCTATCCTTTTCCTCTGTGTGTCTGTCACAAAGCGGGCCCTATAATCATTTTTTTGTTCCTGTTTTCCTCTTTTTCTTCTACTTCGCATCCCGCCTTGTGTGTGCGCCTTCCGTAGGTAATGGCCACCACTCTGAAAGTCATTCAGAAGCTTCTACAAACTGGCAAGTGAACCCGATCAGGCTTCCTAAAAGGGTATTTTTGCTTCTTTTTGTGCACACTGCTCTGTTTTGCTCTGCTGAAAGGGCAGACAAGACACGCTGTGGGCTGTGCAGTGCCTCTGCGCCTTCAGCATTGAAGCTTAGTTGGACCCCTGACTACTTGCGTTTTCTCTTGTCCGTTTTGTCGGGTGGTAGGACCCCACGCGGGAGAAGCCCTCGTGCCTTACTACCGTCAGCTGCTACCGTGTTTTAACCTCTTCATCTCGAAAAGGAACAATCTGAACAGCGCCACAGACTACGCGCAACGAAGAAGGCAGGAACCACACCCCACCCATTTTTAACCCTTGAAAACAGCTGCACACACAGTCCAAGTTCACCTCCTCTTAGAGCCAACGCACTGTCCCCTGCACCGCAGACCTTTCTGTTGGACGCACATGACCTGCCCCCAGTTGCAACTCTTCAGGCCCACAGCCGTCAAACAGCAGCAGCAGAATCGAATGTGTCTTTCTGCTGCAGGGAGGACGTTGCTGTGTTAATTGAGGAGACCCTTAAAATGATGGAGGAGACAGGGGGTCCTGATGCCTTTATCAACATTAAATACATGGTGCCCATTTACGAGTCCCAAGTGCTTACGGGACGATGAGAGTTACAGCTGTACAATGCGATGCTCCTTGAATGTGAGAGAGACCACCCCGCTAGTGGCCCTGTCTATTGGCTCCGTCTATTTTGGGGCATTTGGCCCCTAGCTAATGCCCCCTCACTAAAAGGCCAGTATCACTGGGCTTTCCCATGCATCACTTGGCATTTGTGTCCACTGTGGCAAATCCAGATTTGAGCGCCCCTGTGCAATTGTTGGCGCCTCCACTTGCTGGAAAGCGCTTTTAGAGGCGCAGGTCTCTAGTAGCGGGCCCTTGAGTAGGCCCCCTTTAAACTCCCTGAAAAGAAATTTAGTACGGGAAAGAAGGCACCCTATGAAACCCTTTCCAAGCTGCGGGCCCATAATGACGGTGCGCCTCCGCTTCAAAAGCCCTCTTTAAAGGTGCACCAAAACAACGCGGTGTAGCCAACTCAATCAGTTTGCCTGGAGTTCGCCGTCGGCGTGCAAAGAAATAGGGACAGAGCAGGGAGCAAGAGCTTCCAGAAAGTAGCTGTAGTATAAGGTGCTCTGTGCGGTGTCAGTGGGCTGTCTGCACATGCATTTCTTCCTTTATATCTTTGCACCGTGAACTTTTTCTTTCCTGTGGTTGCCTGCTGGTTTCCACTGTTTCCTACATCTCGGCTATCTAGGTCTCTCTTTCCCGCGCTGGCTCTCACTGCTTTGGTTCCAATCACTTTGCTCTGACTCTGCGTATGCCTCGATGTCTGCATCCCCAGCCTGTCTGTCTAGCTGTACCTTTAACATCCCCGTAAATTAAATAGCCACAATCAAATCAGAGAAACACAGCCACTGCCGGAACCTCGGCCAGTCTCTGTGCGGCGGCGCAGAACAATCAGCAGCGTTAAGCTGCGATAACTGCCGCAGCAGCAGAAACTTCCCAGCCAACCGGTGCAGCAGCACAAAATGCTGCAGCAACGCATGCTGCATCAACACATGATGCAGAAGTGTCGCGGCAGCAACACTCATTGCAGAAAAAACGGCTGCCGCTACAATGCAGATGCGGCAGCAACTGGTGGGGCTGCAGCATAAGCTCGGCCCTTGTCTGCCACCTGAGGCTCCACTGTCTGCGGTCAATGCCCTAATATCAGATTTGTAAACCTTAGGAATAACAACCCAAAGCTGCATTGGTGTAAGAGCTGCTGGCAACCTCCTACGGCATGGCAGCTCCGGCAGCACCAGTAGCCCCAGGGTCACGGCCTTTGAATGCAAAAAAGCCTGCAGCAGCAAAGCACAAACAAACTCTCAGTGGCCAATACAAAGTTCTAGACGCCAGAATGTGAGAGCAAAAGAGAGCCAATTCGGTGCATAGCTTGAAGCTAAAGTCTTCGTTGTCTTACTTCCGTGTTTGGCGCATGCCACGTGCTGCTTGACAGCCTTCGACTCTGCATCAGCAGCAGCAGCAGCAGCTAGCTCAGCAGCAGCAGCAGCAGCAGCAGTGTCTGCTGCTGCCTTCTTGGCTGCTGCTTCTGCTGCAGCAACAGCCTCCGGACAGGCTTTCCCCTTGGCTCTCTCCGCTGCAGCTGCAGCTGCATCAGCAGCAGCGGCAGCATTTCGAGCAGCAAAATCCGCAGCTCTGGCTCCGTCTGCTGCCGACGGCAGCTCCAGGAGCAGCGGGAATCTGCTGCGTTCGGGGGGAAGCAGCAGCAGGCCACCTAGCTGCTCAACTACTGGCGCGCCCCTGCTGGGTGGCAGTGGCGGTGCTGCGGCTGTTCTTGCTGCTGTCACTGATGAATATGCAGCAACATCCTCCGCTGTGCACATAGTGCTCTCTGTGACGACCGTTAGCTGCAGTCAAAGATACAGGGGCAGAGCCACTAGCGGTAGAGATAAAACCAAACAAAATGAACGCAGAGTGTAAAAGCTGCTAAAGAGCAGCCAACGGCTCCCCAATAGACACCTAGGCCGAGAGAAGGGCAAATAACTAGGTAAGTAGGGAAAACACAGGAAGCCCAACAGCATAACCAACAACTTCGGGCTAGAATATGATAAGCGTAGAGACAAAATAATAAAGGGCAACAGCACGGGCGGTGAGGCAGGCGGGGGCAAAAGTATAAGAAAAACAGGAAACGGATAAAGAGTCGTCGAGGAGGATATGAATGTGAGCAGACCTAGGAGAGTGAGAATAGCATGGAGAATGCACGGCAGGGAATTGAAAAGATAGACACTAAGAATAGAATGCCTGACAAGAGAGAGAAGCAAGCTGGTAGAATGCCCATCAGCAGCTCACCACATTGTTGTCTATAAGGAGACGCAGTGCCTCCACTGTCGCTTCAGATAGGGTGTCTGGCCCTTCTGCTGTGGCCTGAGTACCATTGGAGGGCCCCTGGAGGGCTCCTAGGGTGCTGAAAAGTGCTATATCTGGAAAGAAAGTACATTTGGGGTTGGAGAGAATGCCGGGGACTTTCTGAGAAACAGAAACAGAAAAGGACTCAGTTCATGTTTCTTTCGATCTGATTGGTCACTGTTCTCTGCCCAACGCCGTGAAAGAGGCACTGGAGCGCAAGAAATTTAAAGCAGAAGATCCAGCAGCTCAGAGAGCTCCAGCAGCAGCTGTAAGATTCACGCGGGGCAAGTTAATGCAGACACTGGAAGAGGGAGGTGACGCCAAAGGGCTTCAGGAGGCACATTAATAGACGCATGCATGAAGGCTTAAGAAAAGAATCGGCGCGAAAAATAGATCTGGTGGTCCTGAGCAGCGGAACGGAACATGAGGCATTGCAGCAGCAGCAGCAGCAACAGCAGCCAGCACATACCTTCGTCAAATCCGAGTAAGTGCCTTTGAAGAAAACAGCGACCTGCTCTCGTCCGTCGACTTTGACGCAGTGTGGGGGAGACAGCTCTCCCTTCACGAGGTCTTCTGTGGCAGCAGCACCAGCGGCAGCAGCAGCAGCAGAAGCAGCAGCAGCACCAGCAGGGGTAACTGAAGAGGACCAGAAGCACTAGCTGTGGCTGCAGCTAAGGCTCAGCAATGAGAATGACAGCGCAGCAGCACTCAAGGAGCAACAAGCACGTGCGCAGCACACAGTAAACGCCTCGGAAGCAGCAGCGGCAAAAAAAGCAGCAAAAACAGCAAAGACGACTGCGTTGGCAAGAGCAGCAGCAACGCAACAAGCATTTGGAGCAGCAGCAGCCACTAACAGAGAAGCTGCGGCTGGACACGGTGAAGAAGCACCAGCAGCAGCACCAGGTGCGGCAGCAGCAGCCTGAGCAGCAGCAAGAGCAAAGATGGCTTGCCTTCAAACTTAGTGGGGTTGGGCGCCCCTTGAGTAAATCCTACAAAGAGAATTATGAGGGTTTTCAGCTGCGGCCACCTCTCCAAGATGGAAGTGAAGCGGCAGCTCAACTCATGATGTGCTGAGGCCCCTAAAATATGGAGGCAGAGTGTATCCTTCTTCAAATCGGGCAAAGCTTGCTTCTGCTGCTGCTCCTGCTGTTGCAGCTGCAGCTCGTGCAGGGCTGAAAGCAGCGTGAGGGGGAGAGAGCGAGTCAAAGGGAAATTGCATTCCTCAGACAAGTACTCTAAAGAGTGCGGACGGAGCCACAAAGAGCTGTCTTGGTCATCATTGCGCCACTGTATGTCCCATATGAAGCTGTTGCTGCTGTCTGCGTTGCTGCTGCTGGTGGTACTGCTCGTGTTGCTGCTGCTGCTGCCTGTGTTGCTGCTGCTGCTTGTGTTGCTGGAGGTCTTGATGCTGGGATCGTCAGCTTCTTTCGACGGGGTGCCGCTGTTCGTGCTGCTGGTGTTGCTGGTGTTGCTCTTGCTGCTGCTGCTCTTGGTGCTGACGCCCATCATTTTCCGCATCAGCTTTCGCTGCTGGATCTTGTGCAATTCCCGTTCCCGTGCTATCTCTTGCTGCAGTGACAGAGCCAAAGGGTCACCTGGCTGCACTTGCAGCAGCAGTTCTGCTGCTTCTGAAGCGTCTTGAAATTCCTGCAGCAGAAGATGCCGCAAAAACAGCTGTTGCAAAAAGTAGAGAGGAAGCTGCTGCCCGCGCAGCTGGTGCAGCAATCCCTGCAGAAGCAGCAGCAGCTACACTACGAACAGCAGTCCCAAGACCAGTCACAGCAGCAGCACATCCACCCGCAACAGCAGCATAAGATTACATTGACCATAAGATGCGCCTTGGCAAGCCTGTAGAGCGCCTTGGGGTGCCTCTTCTTCAGCTGCAACGCTCTGGTGCAGTGGTGAATGGCTGTGTGAGCTTCCCCAGTTTTGAGAGCAGCTGCAGCCAAATTGAGATGTAAAGGCAGCTCCAGGGGAATGAGTTCCTGGCCCATGTGGGGCCCTGGGTGCGCAGACGAAACCAGAAACAAAAAAGACAAAAATAATCGATCCCGGCGAGATGCAGCAGCTGCCTATACACCACACGGCTCGCTAGCAGCAGCAGCAGCACTTGTCCCACACAAACACAAATAGGCAACAACCCGCGTGCACTTGCTGCAGCGCCATTAGCAGCAAGCAGGGGCGCAGCCAAAGACAAGAGCTGCAAGGCAGCAACGCATGCAGAGAGGGGCGGCAGGAGAAGCAGCAGCAAACGAATGCACAACACCAGCCACTTGTCCTAGAGCCTAGACTCTGGTGCCCTAAAGGACGCAGCAGCTAACCTCGGCAAGCGAGTGAGAAGCAAACCTTGAGCGATAGCTGCCACTCCCTGATTGCTTCGTCGACTTGACCCTGAAGGCAGCAGCAGCAGCACCGCCAGCAGCGGCAGCAATTAAAGCAGCACGCCGGCAGCAGCGAGAAACAGCTGCAATGGCACCAGCAGCAGCAGCTACACCAGCAATAGCAGAAGCACCGCAAAAGCTGGCTGTACGGCTAACCGCAGCAGCAGCGGCGAAAAGCAAATCCGCAGCTGCACCAGCAAATGTGACTGGTGTCGCAACAAGAGCAGCAATGCAGCGGCAGCAGCAACAGCAGCAAGAACTTGCCTGCTTCCAGAGTTCGTTCCCCCTCTCCTTCCTTTCCTCGACTTCCCGGAGCTTCTCAGCGACCTCTGTAGCATTTGAAAACAAAGAAAACCGAAGATGCCGAAGTATAACAGAAACGCAGCAAAGAGATGAACTGCTGCAACGGGATTGACCCTATGGCAGCGGCAGCAGCCGCTGCAGTTGATGCAGCTGCTGAGATGGGGCGACTCTGAATTGTACACATAGCTATTCCAAGACTTCCCCTGCTGCCAGCCTCTTTAGATCCTACTCTGTTTCTATATCTTTTCCCCTTTTCTGCTTTTTCTGCAGCCCCTTTTCTTCGGCTGCGTCTGCCTCCCGTCTTCTGCGGCTGTACCTGGAGTGTCAGCATCACCTTCACTGCTACTATGCCCCTTTCCCTTTCTGCTCAACTCAAGCCGCAGCAGCAGCAACGTAGCTACACTTGGCCAGCAGCAAATAGCGGTCTACCAGCAGCAGCATCGGCAACGGCGAACCTCTTTCCTGCTCCATTGCCATTTCCTTGACCTCAGGGGGTGGGGGCGGGAAGGGCTCCGTGTATTGGTCTCCCAATCCTGCATCTTCCCCTGCTGCTCCTGTTGCTGGTGCAGAGCCGCTCTCTTCGGCTTGCGCTGCTGCTACCGCCGAGCCGACCTTCTCAGGAAGTGTCTCTGCCATCTTCAAAATTTATAGAAAGCAAGGAGCCTCAAGTGAGCTCACTGCTAGGTGCTTAGCAAAAATGCCGAGGAACAGCTGTAGCAAGAGCAGCAGTGTGTACAGTAGCAACATCAGGAGCTGGCGCTGCTGCCGCAGGGGGCCCCGTGCCGAACCAGCAACTCCGACCCCGGGCAGTGTTTCTTCTTTACTTTATGAGTCATTATTTTCCAGGAAATACTTTTCAATTTTGAATTTACTCTTCATTTTTACTTTGACCATGCCCTGTGGGTGCGTCAAGCCGGGCGCCCTTCACTAGGACGCGAGGGGCCCCTGTTGCTGCACCCTCTCTCCAGTTTCTATGCAGGGGCAAGAGAGCAGGCTCAACGGCACTCTTAGACTGCAGAAGGGCCTCCTATCTGTGCGTGAGAGCGGCCAAGCCCCTCAAAGCTGGCTGCATCACCTCAGACAAGGGTCCGTAAATAGGGGCCTCGCTTCCGGCAAAGGCCCCTCCGCAAAGTATGTACAAATAGGCGGAGACTTCTTATCCGAGGCAGTCCCCAGGAAGTCTGAAGCCCATAAACGTGCCCTCACTTCTGCTGGGACCTTTCGTTTTCACTGGCGCCCCCTGGCCCAGAGGGGTGCCTCCGACTTGGCAGGCGACGCACGGGTCCTAGAGAAATCCCCAAGCCTAAACCAGGACTCAAAAGCTTGGCGTAGCGCATACAGGGACACCCTGGCCGTTGGAGAGCCTCGCTGGAAGACAGTATCTTTGGCAGTGTCTTCAGTTTTATTAAGTCTGCGTGTGTCTGCCGCGGCTCCTGTGTGTCTTTGTGCCCCCTCCACCTGCACAGCTCCCCACATATATCTGCATTTGCCTGTCTGAGCGCTGCTGTTTCTGCCTGTTTGAGTGGCCGCCTCTGCCTCTCCTTGGGCCCTCCTGGGGGGCCCCGTTTGCCTCTGCGTGTTGCTGCCCCCCTACTCGCCTTCAGCCATATTTGCACATTTGTCTTAATAGCAGCTGCTGTCGGTGCCCCTGTCGCTCTCTGAGCGGCGAACTCCGCTCCTTGACAATGGGCGACTCGACCTCCACAGAGGTGAACGGCTTTGTGGGCTGGCTGACTTCCTTTGTGGCTTTCTTCGCCTACTTCTTCTGGTCCCTCAGCAGCAGAGAGCAGCTCGAGAGGCTCGGCATCAGCTACTACCCGGACAGGCAAGCGAGCCAGACGGCGACACAACTGAACCCCCCATGACAAGCCAAACTTCTTGAGCGCACTTGTGCTGCTGGCTCTGTTGGGTCTACTGGGTCGCTGCAGTGGCGGCTGTGGCTGCAGCTGCCTCCCCTTTGCCGCGTATTGGGCTTCTATGCCTTCTGCAAAGGCCCTGTCTACCCTTTTGCGTCAGTCTTCTGTGGTGGCCTTTGTGTGAGCATGTCTGGCTTTGCGCGTCTCGTCTACATTCGCCTCTTGGCCTCCCTTCTTGGCCGTTCCAGCTTCTGTTACTCCTTTCTACTCTCTCCCCTCAACCCTATAGATCGCAGCTGGCGCGACCTCACTGCCTATTTTTGCATGCGGGCAAACGAGGCGTGTACCTGCATTTGGCATCAGAATCTGTCGTTGTGCGCTGCTGCTTGTTGGAGACTCTTGTGGCAGCTTACAGAGTTGCTGCCTACAATGTTGACCGCCTGCAGATGTTTCCGGTCTCAACTCTTCCGCATGTGCAGGCCTCTGCGTGTTGCGTGTGCCCGTGGCTGTCTGCGGTAGCTGGGCTGAGTAGCTGTGCTCTGCTGTGGCGGCGCTTTGCGCATGCTTCAGGTACTGGGCGCTGTCGCTTCCTGTGTTGCTGCTGGTCGTGCTAGCTGTTGTCTTCTTCGGCTATGTCTTAATCAACATGCTGTACTCCCCGCCTCCTGACGACATGCGGCAGTTCACAGGCAAGGGGAACAAAAATGCAACTGAGAGAACAAATAGAAAGCACAAACAGCACACCGTACAGTTCAAAGAGCTCGAGCGACAGCTCCACATTCCCCAAGTTGGGAGCCGTAGACGCTAGCTACTGCATCTGCCCGGCTGTTTGCAAAGATGCTCTGGCGTGTTAGTGCAGCATCCGTGCGCCCAGGAAGCCAATGCAAGTTGCACATGCTATGTGCCGGTGCAGACTTGAACGTATATATTTATATATTAGATAGTGCGCAGACTTGAACTGGGATAGAAGGATTTCTGGTCGTTTGCTGTACCTTGCTCTGTGCACAAAGTAGAATTGCCTGTTCCTCTCTCGCACTTCATGCGCGGCAGCTTTCGCTCGTTTACACGCCCAAGTCTCTAGTTAGATGTGCAGCTGCACATTTCACCACCTTCCAGAGGTGTGAAACCACCGCATATCACTTAGGGTTTTTGGCTGTGAAGGTTGGGGCATGCGGATGCAACTGTTCTGTAGCTCCTCAGTCTATTTCGCTGCCTTGTGCCATCTCTTCTAGTCCGAGCCCTAGAACGTCGACCCAGAGAACAAACTTTCTTGTTTGGGCATGCGTCATTTTTTGTGATTTACAGATAGTCGAGCCAGGGCGCCTTCCCCAGAAGCTGAGCGTTCGCTCCAGCTTATGGCTGGCGCGTCTGCTGTAGCAGTGGCATCAGCGGCCGCAGCAGCAGCAAGAGGTCACCCGCAGCAGGTCAACTGCCAGGACCATATCCAGAAGCCTGTTGTGAACTTGCTGCAGCGGCACCAGCAGCAGCACCACCACCACAGGCATACCGGCACAATAGGCGACATCCCTCTTGCACTTGTCTCGCGGGTGTTATTCCCCTTAAACCCAAACTTGGAGGGCAGACCTGCAGTCCTCGGGGGCCCTCCCTTCTACTACGAGCCGCTCAAGCCCAAGCCCTGAAGCCAGGCGCGTACCCACGTCCCTGGAGAGCCCAAACGTCAAGATTGACGTTTGGACTCAACCTATCGGGCCCCGAATGATGTACGCCCTTGCGATTGGGGCCTGCACAATTGGTAATAGTGCCATAGTTGAGCCCGCCGAGGCGTAGTTTGTAGGAATTCTAGCGACAGCAGAGTAGCCTGGGGCCTATGAGCACATAGGGCCTCCAGTAGCACTGCACAGCAGGCGACGTGTACCATTTGCTGGCACGGGTGCCGCGCCATCCGACGAAAACGACACTAAAAGAGGGCCTCACCGAAAGGCCCTCTTTTTTTCTTTACAAAGTTAATGTATTGGCAAGACTTAAGGGATTTGTTTACGGATATACTACGACAACGGGTGCTGATGCAGTGGATACTCCTGTAGCGGTTGCTACTGTAGCAAAGATGTTGCTAAGAACGTCCTTATATTGCTGGGGACCGCGTTTTGAAGGCTCCAGAGCTGTTCCTCAGGGGCTTCTGTTGTAGCTGCTGCTTCTGCTGCTGCAGATTCTCTCCCAGTACGAAATCTCCAGCAGCAGCAAACTGTGCGTTTCTCCTGCTGCAATATCCTTTACTGTTACTCTTTCAATGGATCTCCACACGCCATCTGCACCCAATTCCCCGCGTGTTCCCATGGGCGGGTCGTCGTCTTTCGGGGCCGTGTACGAGCGGCTTGCGCTGCTCCGGCGTACGGAGCCAAATACACTTAACTCACCTTTGCGTCTTCGAGCTTCAAGCTTGTTGCGGGTGCTGGTATTACAGACGCCGCCGCCACTGCTACTGCTGCTGCGTGAACTGAAAGGTTGGCCTCCGCTTTTGCTTGATAGTGAAGCTTGCCTGCTGTATCTGTTCGAAGCAGCAGAGTTGGCCTGTTTTCGTGTAACAGATATGGGAAGCCGTCGGATGCCTACAGAGAAAAGGGAAGGCCGTTTATTAGTTTCCGTACAGCTTTTTGACCTTAGAGGTACCCCCTTGCCTTTTGTTTGTGGAGCTGTTACCTCCATGGAATGTGGGCTGGAAGACAAGCAAGCTTCATTTGCTCTGTTTTTCGCGGCTGCCGTTGTCCCTGTATGTTCTCTTGAGCCCTTGTTAGCTGTCTTGTCGTCTGTCCCTTCTGCTCGTTTTGCCTGTCTCTTCCCAACCTCTGTATCCTTGCCCCCTAGAGAGTCCAGTCGCGTGAGCAGCCGGGAAAGATATGCCTTCAATGGGCTTTGTTGCTCTGGTTCTCCCGCCTCATTTGCAGCATTCCTGCGGGTCTGACAAGCAGGCCCAGCCATTGTACTTGGTGCTGCTGCGAGGAATGAGCGTTTCCGATAGTTCCGCAGGATCTGAAGAGGAGTCCGAAGTCGTTGTGAGAAAAAAAGATGCCCCTTAATACGTTGGGTGACTGCTGCATCTTTTGCCTGCGGTGAAGCCTCTGCAGTTCCTTTTCCGCTGCCGCTGCTGTCCCCACTGCAGTTGCTGTTGCTGCCTCCAAAGCCGGCAGCAGTATATGCTAGTGGAGGTGTCCAGATGTTCTGGAGAGCACTGTACGCAAGTGCCTCAAGATCAATTCGCTTTGGAAGCTTGATTCTCTTTCTCCCTGTTTCCTGTCTCTGTTGGGGAGATAGGGGAATCTGCTGCTGCTCATTGCTGCCCCATGCATATAGCTGAATGGGCAACACGCAGGCGTGCTGTTCCAGATTTGCTCTGTCAGGACGGAGATGGGACCCTGACTGGCCTCCATACTTACCAAAAGAGGCCGAAGGACAATGAGGAAGACTGTCGGAGGAGACTGCAGAGCTGAAAAGGTCTGTAAAATGGAAACTGCCCTCAGCAGAACCGCTGAGTCCACAACTAAAGGTATTGCGCCGCAGCGGAGGCGACAAGCTCCTCAAAGGCGCCTGAAGGGGAAAAGAACGTAGTGAGTGACTCCTGCACGGGTCTTCTTTTCTGGAAAAGCTGGAGCAGCGAATTGCCTCAGCCGCCTCTGAGACAGTTATCTCCCTCAATACCGTTTTTGTCCAGCCACCGTCCCCTGCTGCTTTTTCTTCTGCATTTGAAGACGTGCTTGACGTCTTATCAATGGAAACAAAGGAAGGACCCGTCTGAGCAAAGCAGAGCGGAGGCACCCACGGGGGCCGTCCATACAGGCCACTTGTCTTCTCTGACCAGTCCACAGAGCCGCTTTTGCTAGTAGCCTCCAGTGAGGGCGGTAGAGAGGCGAAGGACGACGATGAGGAGCTGCGAGAACGTTCATCCTCGGAAGAGTGACTGGAGGGGCAAAATGAAACGCCGGCAATCGTAAAGGCGAGGCCAAGGGCCAATCTGTGGATCTGGATGTAGGAGGGACGTTTTGGGTCCTGCAAGAAAGGTAACTGAGACAGCAAACGTCACAGAAAAGTACCGGAATCCTTGAGACACAGCAGAGATTGGCACTTGAGAAGTTGCCCAAGCTGATTACTTGCGTCGGCCTCCCGTTGCTTCTCAGCTGTAGCTCTGAATATGTTGGCTACTTCGTGCGACATTCTGTTGCCCTTTGAGTGTGCAGACGCTCCCTTCGTCAGCTGTCTGTGGTTCGCGCACTGTCCACTTTGTAACCATGTATGTAAATTCCCTGAGGCTGCGATTCCCTTGCCTTCTTCAGCCTCCTTTTATTTCTACATGAGTTAGTGCGTGATTCTCTCCTTCCACTGCATTGCGTCCCTCTCAAACTCGTCTTTTCAGCTTTTATCAGCCTTTTTGGTTTCCTCACCTCTATAGGTTTCACAACATTGCGGATCGAGTTCAGACCCAGCTGTCCCTCAGACCCTCTGCCCCACATCAACAGTTTGTCTCCCGACTGACGGTAAGCGCTCTTGCTCTCCTGTTTCTCTTGCTGTGGTGCAACTGCAAATACACCCCAAAACACCACATTTGGCAGCTACTAAAGGAAGCGGCATGCCTTTCAGTGATTAACATATTAAGGTTAGCTTGCATGGATCCGTATATTTCACATCTGTTTAAATGAAATGAGGGTCTCCAGGGACACTGAAAGCCCGTATGCTTCCATTCCCCACGGAGTTTCAGCTCCGTACGCTTCTTTTTCTGGGCTTGTTGAGCTAGCTTGGCCCTGTACTGCTGAAGAGGTCTTGAGAAGAGAAGTTTCGAAGGACGTCCCAGCCTTTTCCCTTCCTTTTTATTTTTTTCCTCCCTCACGACAGCAGTTGAAAGTGTAGACTTATGTTTCTGGCCCTTCCAGTCCAGCTGCTGCAGAAGTTGCTGCAGCAACTGCTGCTCGCTGCTCCTGTCCGCAGCACAGATTGCAGCGCAGTGTGTGCCGCCGCACACAACGCGTGTAGCAAAACTCCCCAAGCCCTTCAGTAGCTGAGGGCCACAGAGGTGGTGCGTCTTCGTGGGCATCTGGCGGCCGCGCCAAAGCCACTGCTGAATTGGCAAGTGATGAGACAGCACAAAACAACTGGCTGCGTCCATTCATGCTACTGCAACGTGAAATTTTTTCTGTGCTTGCAAAGGCTTCAATGCAAGGGCAGATGTACGAGCACAGAGAGAGAAACGTATTCACACGGCTGTGCGGCTGTGGGCTTACTTGTAGATACTTTTATAAACATGCGCAAAAGAGCATGTGATAGCGCCAATGCATGCACTCATGTGTTAGTAACAGCACGACAGCATTGCAGATTGCTCATAGTTTAAACAGGTAAAACCTTCATAGCAGATGAAGGCATCCAATAATGTTCAAGGAGCATTATTGGACGCGCAAAATCTTGCAAATGCCACTTCAAAGATAGACAACAGGATTGGAGTTCCGAAGTTATCTGTCCACTCTTTTTTTCAAAAGGCGTATCGTGATGCTGCATTCCTTACTGCTTTCAGCTTGCGTGTTTCCCAAGAGCCAACGACGGCAGGGCCCCAAACATAAACTTGACCCTCATCAGAAAGGCAAGCACTGTGCCACCGTCCAAGGCACACCTGAAACACAACGCAAGCACAAGTAGCAGCAGTCGAACAAGCAGTTACAGAATCAGTGAAAGACGCAGGCTAAAATGATGCGGAGGGTGCAGCAGCCACTGAAGCCACTAGCAATCTAAGGGGTTCAAAAGGTGCGGCCACCGACAGGCACGACACCAAAAGCATGGACATTTGCGGCCTACAGCAGCAAAAGTGGCACCTCTTGCATGAAATGCAGATACGTCTCCATTAGCAGCTATAGTGAAAAGACGTGCCTGCACAACTGCAGTGGCGAAGGGAAAGCGGACACGAGAGGGCCTGAAGGGACTGAGGCTCCGACAGGAAGTTTCCCTACCCAGCTGTCCAAACTGCAGCAGGAATGCAAGAAAACAGAAACAATGAAGAGCACCACCTGAGCCGACACAAAGAGAATAATTTGCAAGGGAAGAGCTAGCACGCGAAACAGCAAATAGCAAACATACTGCAAGCAGAAGAGGAAACGGCAGTCGCTGAGAATGGTAGGTGCCGTGCCGCAGCAATGGATCAGCCGCAACAGTAGGAGAAAAGAGCCATCCCAGTACGGGCAAGAGACATCAGTACAATCGACCAAGCGATGAAAGAAATAATAACCACACGACAACGGCACTTCAGAAGCCGCTATAAAGCAAAGCCATCAGCTGCGGACGCAACAAATGCAGTTGCAGCGGCAGCGGAGAGGCAAATCCTCTTCTACGGTGAAGATAAATTTTTACCTCATTGTTGCCCCAAGTAAACAACTGATCTCTGCAATCAATACAAGCTGAATGCCTGAAGCGGAAAGCCAAAAAAGCATTTGCTTCTGAAGCTCCAGCTCGGCTCCAGCTGCAGCAGGTGCGAAGACCCCTCTACGTCCACTCGTGAAAGCAGAATATAGCAGTTGAGGGAGCACAAAATTAGACATTCTTCGATGCAACAACGGAGCAACAAGAGAGTAAATAGAGGTTCGCAGCTCGGGAATGCACAATGTGCTGACTTCAAGGCTGCGAAGAAAGTGCAATGTCCTGCTTGCACTCTATGTTGGTGGCCCCTCCTGCCGGGGCAGCAGCTACTACAGACCTGTAACCAGCAGCAACAGCGGCAATTGGAGGTTTCAGGCCTTTGTACATTGTCCGGTCTTCTATAGGCATCCTCTGGGGTAGTGCAGCAAAAAGAAGCGGCTGTTGGGGAGCTGAAAAGAGGCCTAGCTGGCCTTCAGCATTGCTGCCACAAACCCACATGGAGCCATCTCGGCAGAGAAATATGCTATGTTCCCCTGCAGCAGCAACATAAGCAAAAGAGGACGCGAAAAGAGCACCTACTGAACAACGTGTCAGACCACGTAGCAGCTTACTGTGCTCCGTTGGAGTCAACAGAAATTGCAGCGGTCGTGGCCGACATAGCCCAACAGCAGTGATAAACGCAGCATAGGCAGAATCAGGGTCAATATCAGTTGGACCGCAGTCAACACCCGCAGGGGTAAAAGCAACGAGCGGGAGCACAGTAGCTGCAAATCTAGCGGCACCTTGGCAATGCGCTACACAAGGGTATTTAACAGCCATGCTCCCAGTCGATGCAAGAAACACAGCAACGCAATCAACGCGAAACTAAAAGAACATGCAGCAGCTTCTGCTCACCGCCCAAGGCAACGGCTTGTACTTTGTGTTCTCCACCGAACATAGGGAGGATTGACGGCCTCCATAGGGATGTAGGCAGGCGCTGTCTGCGCATAGCTGCTGCCACTGCTGCCTTGACGCTCCTGCTTTTCTTGCGGCTACTCTGAAACAGATTCTGCTGTTGTTGCTGCAGTAACGCTGCGGAGTTATCCAAGTCACCTGCAGGAGCGATTCCTAGTTGGCCGCAGCTGTTGCTTCCCCATACATAAAGCCCGCCTTCCTCCATAACCGCTGCTGAGTGCTGTGCTCCGCAATACACCCTAATCACGTTGGGCTGATCCTGCTCTGGCTGCTGCTGACGCTGCTGATGCTGCTCCTGATGGCATGCATTGGACCAGCCGGCATTCTCTAGATGCCTCCAACGGCAGCCATCCTCAGAAGCGTCTCTCAATGCCTCCAGCAGCAACTCTCGCGCTACCCATGGATGAGGAGCCCTTGGAGAACCCCAGCCACCCACTGTGATCCTCCTCAGAATACCCGCTTTTCCAGTCCGTACATTTGTCTGAGCCACGCACACCCCAATAACCACATGCTAGACATCTGACCTTCAAAACCTATTAACGCTTTAACATCACACCCGCAGCGACATAAAAAAGCACAGGAGTTTCAAGATTGTATCAAAGCATCAAAAGAGTTATACTTTCCTGACCTCAAAAGGCGTTTCCACGGCAAACGAAGAACAAGCAGGCGTGGCTCCTGGAAAGTTATTAACAGCGATGTCGTTTCTCCTTGTCATTTGTCCTTTCGTCCCCTCTAACAGCGCTAGCGCTTCTCTATTGGGGAGATGTGAGGGTGATACGGATGCGGTATATTCTAGTGCCTCTGCTGCCGTTACCGTTGTATTTAAAGAAGAGGCGCCAGTCTGCCGTGCCAGGAACAAAGCACCACCAGTGCTGCTGCTGTCAAGTCTTCCTTCGAAACCTTCGAAAGGCCTGTCACGTGCAGTGCAGCCTGAGGGATATGGGGCGAACTGCATGTCCTTCCCAAGATTCAACAGATTGTTGCATACGCGAGAAACGGCTGCCGCTTCCTTTGCTGCTACATACCACAAGTCAGCTGCAGCTCTACACGGTCCTGATCCATCCAAATTTCTGTTTTTTTCCCATGAAGAATTACAGGTGTGCCCCCTCGCTTTATTGCTGCTGTTGCTGCCGCTGCTTTCAATTGCAGCGAAAGGGGAACTTCTCTGATCGGAGAAGCTTTGACTTTTCCCTCTGTCTTTGTTGGCCCAGCCCCTTGAAGCTCCTCCCTGCTTTTTGTCCTTTTCCAAAGAAGTGGCTGGGGTGGGCAGCAGGAGATAGACAGCATTTGCATGTAGCTTGAGCGGGTGCGCAAGCTGTCCGCTTTCGTTGCTGCCTAGAGAAACACAAAAGTGAACAAGACGCAGGAAGCCGGTATAAAGCCATTAGGCCAAACAAAGACAGACGCTAATACGTGCAAACGGAAATCTCATAAGCCCAAATACACAAATTTTCGCAAGATCTGTGTACTGGAATTCTGGCCTGTGGCACTGAAATATTTTTCAGGGTTAATGTGCACAGTAAGTTGATGCCACGATGCCCCATAGGCAGTTTTATATGCTTTGCTGGAAGCTTAGCGGCTCTAGTGTCTCGCAACAGATAGGGATATCTGCGTTTCTGTACCATACCGCAGGCCACAATGATCGTCTGAGACCTCCACCGATAGCTCACAGAACCAGAGGATGCTCTGGGGTACTTCGGAGGCATTACAGACTGTACTGTGGGTTCCACTGGACTCGCTTCGTTGTGCACTCCACCATTCAGCCTTGAAACCCCTGGACCCTTCATCCTCGAAGGAGATCAAGGGCCGCGCACAAACCCCTGAGTTTTAAGCCAGAATGGAACTGAAATAGCGCAGCAGGGAGGAACTGTAACCAGTCTGAGCACTGCAGTTTCTCACCAAGGGGGCAGCAGCAACACAGGCGGTTCCGAAACCTCCAGCACTCACACTTCCTGCCTTTTAACTAGGAGTGAAGCGGTGTGTGTATATCCTTTAAGAGCCGCAGCGTGGCTGTTGGTCTTGGGGTTTGCTTTGACTCTCACGAGCTCTTCATGTGCCTGACGCTTCCTTCCCTTCGCGATGCGTTGTTTATTATTTTACCTGTTGCAATGGCTTGTCAACAAAACAAGAGCTACTACTGCAGGAGACATAAGAATGGTCCTTGAGGCTGTCTTTGTCCCCTCAAGAAGTGATCTCCGGAAGCGTCGGCACTGAAGTCTTGCGATCAACTCTCGGCACACCTGCTTTTTGCTCTCCTGGCATTCAAGATATGCCTTTTTAATTCCACATAAGGGAAAATATGGCGTCCTGTTTAATGCCTTCTTCTTGATCGTAGCGACGCCGGACCAGTGGACTGTGGACCAGTGGCCTGCTCCGGAGTCACTGGCATCGATTTGCTAATGCTAGATTCACCTCCCCGCACCCAACAACACGAACCCCGATTTTCTGCACAAAAGGTACCTTATACAAAAATATGTAGCCTAGGAAGCCGAATAAAGATCAACTTGCCGCACTGTGTTCCTGAAATGTGCGCTTGTGGCCTGACACTGGGGTATTGCTGGGCACAAACTGGCACACATGGATGCAATTACTGCCTGGATCGGGTGCATCACGTACTTTTTATCTCAACAAAAAAAGGCATCACGTATTTTTTATCTCAACAAAAGGATTTACGTCCTCTCTACTCAAGCCTGCGTAGCTGTTGGACACTCTAAAGTGCAAGTGGAAATGGCCGAACACTCTAACTACCGTAATAAGGCCGGCCAAAACTGTACCACCTCCGTGTCTCATTGAGAACTCCCAACACACACAGGTAGTAGTCCTGGAGACGAGACGTTGAGTTTAATAACTGCCGCAAAAGGCTACAAAACTGGCTCGTGCTCTCAAGGGACACGGAAGTCCCTGTTTCCGTTGCTTTGTGCCGCCGCTTCACATCTGCTTGCGGCTACTGCACATTAGTGGTACCTGCAAACTGTGACCGACGGCATGTCTAATTAACACTCAGCACTAGGTCCCTGACTGGCTATCGGCCTACTCTCCCCAGATACCACTTGAATGCCTATGAAAACGTCACCTCTCTGTTGGCTGCGCCTTTTTTCAATATAAAACGCATACGCGGCAGCGGTCGTTTCCTGCTACATCATCACCAGCAGCCCTACAACGGATGGTAGCTGGAGCCTCAGATGCTGCAAGCCCTGCTTGTCTTATTACTGGCGCAGTGCGGCTCTTCTATCCCCGCCTATCGTATAATGAGTGGGAGAAACAGGCGCACTGCTTTCTGCGTATTTGGCTTCCGGGAAGTAAGTAATGAAGGCAAATGGTGAACGCAAGTGATGAAGGCATTGGAATTGGCAGCGTACAGTACACAGCAGCCGTTGCTGCGTGATGTGCCTGCGGAACAAATTACTCTGCTGCTCCATTCCACACCCCTTTCCACGTCTCAATCGAGAGTCACGAACACGCCGCCTGTGCCACCTCTGCTGCTGCTGCAGCATAAAATACTTGAAAAGCACGAACCCGGCGGGCGTGCCGTGGGAATTAAAGTGTCACCAAGTGGTCGTACACACCTGAAATATCTTGATTTATTGCAGCTCTCCAAACGTCTAACACCACCTTAATAGCAACAGCGGCTTCTTCTACAGCTGCTGCTGCCCTTACTGCAGCCGCGGCATCTGGGGAGGCAGCAACTCATGATGCCGGTCCCGATGCATTCACTGGGCCACATTAAACCATACAGCAAGCAATAGAGAAAAAGAGTCACAAGACGACAAACGAAATGGCTTAACGCAACAAGAACTCCATCATGGGCCCTTCCAACAGTGCCTTGAGGTCCCTATTCGGGGAGACACTATCGTGGGTATGCATATGGTGTAAGCAGAGATAGTATGGAACCCTATGAAAAACAATCGACAGCTTAAAATACATGCAGACCAAAGGAAAGATATATACAAAGCAAGCGTGCACTTTCTCAGCAGTGTCATTCTACGGCTTTAACAGCAGGTGCTCCTGCACTTCCTGCTGCAGTGCGTGCTGCTTCTCCCTCTGAAACATAAAGGCCTTTTTCGAACCCGAACAACACAGTGGGGCAGACATGCTCATTCAAAAATGCTGCAACAAAAGCTCCCCCTGCATCTTCCTCTGGTGCCGCATGACTCCTCTTCGCTGCACGGAGCCATATTTACGCTGTTACCGATGCCGCCTACGCTGCTGCTGCTACGGCAACAGGGTCGTACAGGTGTCTTTAGAGCAACACCAGGCGAAGGAGCGGCCGCTGCAGAGCCATGCTGAAGGACGCTGAGAAATGGAGTGAGGAATTCGTCCACTTCACTACTATCTGTGAGACACTGAGGGCAGCCTTCGCCTGCTACCGCGGCTGCTGCGGCTGCAGTTGCTGGATCCGTGTCAATTTGTTGCTGCAGCGCGCTGCAGCAACAGCATGGCACTCCCAGTGGCGGCGGCGTAGCAGCACAAGGTGAGCATGCGTCCAGCGGGTCCGGAGGTGGTGCTTTCCTCGCAGCAGCAGTCACACTCTCGCTTTTCCTTGTCAAACCACTGCCGGTGCTGTTGCTGCATGTAGCGCGGGCAGATGTTGGTGACGGCTCTTCTGAAATGCTGCAGCGCGTGCTGCTGCCACCACTGAAGACTCCAGTAGGGTTGTACAGTCCCTGGCCGGTTAGAGCTGCAGCAGCTTCCGCAGCGTATATTGCTGCTTCTTTGGCGCGCTCATTTACCTCCACTGAGCAGCAAGTACTACGTGCAGTCTTTTGTGGTTGCGGCGTTTTTGAGGATAGGACACGAGAGCTACGGCGAAGCCCGGGTGAACTGCTGCTGCTGCGGCTGTCCTCACCGCTACTTTGGTCGCAGTGGACACGGCGCGCATCCAAGAGCAGATCCGCGGCAGCGGCTGGCGCCATGCCTAGTGTTACTGCCTTGATACCTCGTCTGTTCCACTTTCGGTACGGCAGGCCGATGCCAAGCGCCTCCGTCAGTCTCTCCTCGAGGTCCTCGCAGCCATTGCTGCTGCCGCTGCTGCTGTTGTGCTGCTGCCACATGGACTGCCCAGACATCCACCCCCCTACTGTGCCGCGTCCCTCGTTGTCCCTGTCGCTGCTGCACCTGCTGAGGCTGGTGCTGCTGCTGCAGCTCTGAAACTCTTCAAGCGAATCACTGCCGCCGCCAGCGTCGGGGCACTTTCTTTGGCTCTTGCTGGTGCCTCTACTGTACCCAATGCTTTCAAATGAACAAGCTGAGGCTTCTTTGTCGCAGAGAGATACTTCTCTGTCGCAGAGAGATACGGCGACAGCGGTGGCAACATCAAGACCCCATGAGCTGTCTTTGGCACAGTCTGTTGCTGCTGTTGCAGCTGCTACTTCTGCTGGCTCTTGCGCTGCGAATACACCCTCCTTCGCTACTGGCATTGCAGAAGTTATTGGAACCGGTGCATTGGCTACCGCTGCTGCTGCCCTTTCTGGTGCCAACGCTGCGGATGCGCCTTCTTCTGGAGCTGGAGCTGTTGGAACGAGTGGTACTGGCACAGTTTCTCCCGCTGCTTTTCCATCTGCTGCAGGAGCCTCTGCTGACAGTACTGCTATACCTGTTACTCCTTTTGCAGGATTTGCAGGCGTGCTTGATGAGGCCACTGACAGTACGGCGTCTTCACGTTGTTGATGTTCCCAGTGTTCCTTTGTTAGGTGGTTACGTACGGCCGCTGCTGAATCTAACGTATCATATGTTCCTGTTGCGCCTGGAGCTGCTGCTGCTGCCTCAGTTATTACTGGCACCGTAACAGCTGCTGCAGCAGCGCTGGTGCTGCTGCTGCGGCAACGTTGGTTTGGGCTGACTTCAGCTTGAATATCGCCAACAGCCTCACCCAGGGAGGCCTGTGGAAAACCGTGCTGCAGCTGCAACTGCAGGAGGAGGCGCTGCTGCACCTGCAACTGTTTCTGTGCCTCTGCATACCTTTGGCATTGCTTCCGTTGCTTCTGCTGCCTCTGCTGAAGCTGCTGCTGCGCTAGCTCAGAGCCCACTGCAGTGTACACGCAGCTTCCAACTACAAGGGGGCTGGTATGCACTCTACGGCCAGCGGACTCTCCAAACAGAGTACCTGAGCCCTCCTCTCCTGGAACTGCTGCCACTGCTTCTAAACTCGTAGCTTCATGAGCAGCAGCTGGTGCTGTGCTGGCCTTTGTGTGGCGACGCCGCCACATCAGCAGGTAGGACACACCATGTTTCTTCCGACGCTGCTGTTGCTGTTGTACTTCTCGCTGCTTCACTTGTGGCGGCTGGCATTGCACCACCTGGGCTCCCTGCGTCACGCGCTGCTGTTGCTGCTGCGGGCTCTCCACTACGTGAACTCCCCGGCAACTAGAAGAAGAGCACCCCATTGCGCAGCAAGACGCTAAAGCTGACGCTGCCTGTGGAGCCGTAGCAGAAGCAGCGTCAGGTCTCTCAACTGTCCTTTGGTTAACAGACGAGCTTCCCACTGCGTCTTCAAGAACGGCTGCAACCGCAGTATTGCACCTTCGCACTCTTCCTGTCGCTGTCACTAGAGATCCAGCAGTAGCAGCAGCTTGAAGATTCCCGCTGCTGTGCGTACGGGTGGCCTGTTGCGGCCGTTGATGCTGTTGAAGCGGCGCCCGCCAAAGTTTGCTGCCACTCCAAAGAAATGACAAGCGAGATAAACTTGTGATGGCGTTTTTGCTGCTGCCGTGGCTGAAGCTGCGTTGCGTCGGTAGCATGCGCCCGCGGGACAGATGCTGCTGATACAAACGCCTCTGTGGCACAACAGGAAGGCTCTCCCTGCTGTCGGAGATTTCCGTTGCCTCCGTTTTGCTATTGCTTCTGCTGGCCACCGTCGCTGCGGCAGCAGGGTCAGGGTCATCCAGAGGTGTTTCGAAAAGCGCAGAGAAACAGGGAACTGCTGTTGCTGCTGCTGCTGCGGCCGCAGCTGCCGCTGCCGTCGCAGCAGCTGTTGCTGCTGCTGTCGCCGTTGCAGTTGCTGCAGCTGTTGCTGCAGCCGTTGCTGCAGCTGTTGCTGCAGCCTTTGCAGCAGCTGTTGCGGCTGCCTCTGCGGCGTCATCTGCAGCTGCTCCTGCTGCCGCCGTTGCAGATCTCGCCCCTGAAGTCCTCGCCACAAGAGAGGCCGGCTCGACTGCCACTGCACTGTCGCTATTGCAGTGGCGGTAGTAGCTACTGCTGCTGCTCTCTCCGCCGCTGCTGCAGCCACTCTCCAAAAGGATAACACGGCCTTCGAGCGAGTGGCCTCTCCAGGGTCCTCCGGGTGAAACTGCAGACGCCGCAAGAGCAGCAGCGGCAGCAGAAGGCGCCGGAAGCATCAGGGAAGACCCCGCCAACGAAACTGAGCTGCTGGGACATTTAAGGCGCTGATGCTGTGGCTTATGTTGCTTCTCACGCTGCTGTTGCTGTCCGCTCTCCAAGGGGGTGCCGGAGTCGCTGTGCAAAAAAGACGATGCAGCTGCAGGTGATGCTACTGCAGTTGGGCCCTCTACGAAAACGCTGCGCGCCATAAGGACCCCATGGGGCCCCCAAAATTCCGTTGGAGACTCATAAAAAGAGCTCGCCTCTTCCCTTGCTACTGTTCTGGGAGTTGCTTTTGTTTGTTGTGCTGCTGCTGCTTCACTGCATGGCAGCTCGGTTGGCTGCCGCTGGTGCCGCTGCTGAACACCGCTAGGGCAAATGTGATGGCAGCCCTGCGGAGGCAGAGGCACTTCGTGAATTCCTGGGCTGATGCAAGCTATGCAGCCGCACAAAGCGCTGCCGACACTGTCACGGCTGTTGCTTGTCTGTAGTCCTGCTGCTCTTCCTGTGGTGCAGGTGCGGCATGTGGGGGAAGCCACTGTGCTGCTGCTGCTGCTACAGGTAAAGGCGGGCAAAAATGGAGCGCTTCTGCGGGTGCAGCTTGTGCTACAGCTATCTCCTCGGCGCATGCATTGCTGCTGCTTGCCGCTGCTGTTCCTCTCATGCAGGCCCAGCAGTTCGTCGCTCCCTACGGCAGCAAGTGGTAGCCACACACCCGAAGTGCTGCCACAGCTCGATAAGCTGCAGCAACTAATGCAGCTACCGTCTCGTCCGACCTCCTTGTCAGGAGAAGTGGCGGCGGAGGAGCCATAGCCCTCCTGAGCTGGCGTCGTTGTTGCCGTTGTAGCTGCGCCTGTTGCTGTTTTACTGCTGTTGCACTGCCCTGTGCTACGGGAAAGAATGCCGCGCCAGCGAGACATGGGAAAAGTTAAAGGACTGCTGGAAGAGCCGACGGAGTAGAAAAGCCTTTCGTGCGGCCACAGCTGCTGCTGCTGCTGTAGCTGCTATACGCAAGCCGCGCTGCTTCTCGGGACGTCGGTGCAACCAGGCCAAGTGAAGGCAGTAATGCTGCCATGGTGGTCTCAGAACACATATGAGGCCCTGAAAGCCTCTCAGTAAGCCGTTATCACAGCAGCAACCAAAGCAGGGTCGCGAACAGCCGAAGCCGGCGCCCCAGGTTGCTGCTGCAGCTGCAAATTTCCAAGAAGCGGGCGCAATATGTGCAGCACAAAACCATGAAGCGGTCGAGGCGCCCTTCGTGGCTGAACGTTTTGCTTCCACTGCAGCTGTTGCCAGCGTTACCCTAGCTGCTGCAGTCGTCGCCAGTAGTAAAAGCAACCGCCGTTGAATTGGGGTTCACTCTGGTCCTTAAGCCCTATTAAATAGCATTAAATTCCTTCTCATAGAAGGAAAGCGGGAAACAAATGCTGCACAGGAGCTATTGAAAGCTACAGACCATAGCTGTTCCCCCAAGATCGAGGGAGTAGCAGTTGCAGCAGCGGCAACAAAAGTGGCAGCTCCAGGTGAAGCAGCAAAATGATACGATCCGTTTTTCATCAAATTGCTAAATTTACCTATTTGAGTTAAAGAGAGCGAAAGGGAGGAAAAATCATGGATAGAAACCGCGCAAGAGTGTGGGAGCTGCCGCGAGTAGCTGTTTATGCCACAGGTGAAAAACGGAGGTGAAAATACGCAACGTATACACCGTCTAATAAGTAAAACAGTACAATTTCAACAAAAAGGGAAAACGAACCACACAAGAACATGAGAACGTGAGGTCAAAGCGCGTCAGTTTTGCTCATTTGCAGCGCTTCCTGGGACAGAGGCGGTGGCGTTGCTCCTGTTGGCACTGCTCATGCACCTGCTGTTGCTTTTGCCTCTTTCATGGCAATTCCGCTGTACCTTTTACTTGTTGTTGAGTAAAAACCCACGTATGTGACATAACAAAGCGACCAGAGAGAGCATTTGACCCTCTTGTGCATCTGAAGTGCAGCCCTGTGGCGCTGCCGCTCCAGTTGTAGCGCTGGGCTCCACAATCTCTGGATCTTGTGGAAAAAAGGCAGACTGTGCACTATGAATAGTCCGTAGCATATTTACAAGGCTTTTTTTCCCTTCAAGTAGAGTCTTTCAAAGCACAGGCGCCGCCGCCTCCCCTACGCTGTGGCGTGACGATTGCTTGATCCCTACACCGCTGCTCCGCACATGGAGCAGTATGGTGTTGGCCAGGGAACGAGATGCATCTCCTAAATTGTGCATATAAACTCTATTCAAGTTAGACATTCGGTTTGGCGAGCTTTTGTACAGGGGAATGGGCACACTGGAGCGCGTGACGACTTGAAACTGCACTCAACATCGCTATTTCCGTGTCTTAAGAATTTTGCGTAGGCTTTATCACGATGGTAGAGTCTAGCAAAGCTTCTTCCCATTGATTAATCTCTAAGCTCGCGTCTATGAATATTATATTGGGTATGCAGAGCGCCGTTCAGGTACTTGTATGGCAGTTCGCTAGCTCACATTTGTGTGCTACCCTCAACTATTTACTGAACGCGGAAGCAAGCAGGTTTTCGCGCTACTCCGGTGTCTAGCCACCAAAGAGTAGGCTAGAAAAATGAAGGGCCTGGTAAGAATTCAGGCTAAATGCGACACTACCTACCAGGCTTGGGACAGCATGGCCAAGACTGGCCTGCAGTGGGTGGTAGTACCTGAAGATGATTAAGCTTCCCGTTAAAAGGGCGAAGTGCTAGATTTCCCCTGCCCTAAAACCGGGCATTGCGGGGACAAAATACACCAGTTCTGGTGTCGCAAAATATTATATTTGCAGTTCAAAACGATTCTGTTCTGTTTTAGCCAGACAGTGTCCACAATATCCCCACGAACAATATCCCCGGCGAGCCAACAAGCATTTGAAAAAGAACAGTGGAACGTGGTCTTATTAATCAAGGGCGCACAATCACGATCGCATTCCTTTTTTGACGATCCGAGTAGCCGAAGTGGTGAGTAGTGAGGAAACGGCTTGGAGTCATTGCTTGGTTGTGTTTGCTGTGCGAATCTGCAAAATATTTCCAGAGTTTTCTAGTAACTGTGGCTGGATGGGGTCCACACATCTCCCTCCCCCCTTAATTGGCTTTTCGGTTGTTCAAGTTGCTAGTTTGCACCGTTTTCGCTGGGTGCTCGCCGTTTGGGCAACTCCGGTGCGAAATCTTCATTTGCTGGGCCACATGTGTATGAGTTACCCAGGTGCATATGATACTTCTTAGTGAACATGGTCACATGTTTACCCGATGTGCTAGCATGTGTGTGCTAATGCGAGCTGAAAGTATGAGCTGTCATTTATAGGCATGGGGTAGGTGGTAGTGCGCATTTCCTGGAACAGCCCCTAGTTGTAGCTGGTTAACCACGACACAGCCAGTACATTCTGCCACTCATTTTACAGCTCTGGAAACCCTTCTGCAATCATACCAAAACAGTAGAAAGGCAGAAGGGTAGAAATTTCTACCAAGCAGTGGCAGGGCCTCAAAGGAAATCGAGGAGGCTTCTTGGCGTGTACAAATATCCCTTCACTTGCAGGTGCATTGCCGGCCCTATATGCCAAGACTTCTTGCGGTACTCACATGGTCTCGCCACCGTCTGAACTCTACGGTTCTAGGTATACTATAATATATTTGTACATTGCGTATCTTCATTTCGGTGCATAAGGTATTCGAAGGCTCCCTTCTGGCTCGATTGTGGTGTGCAGCACTACGTTCCACCCGAAGGCAAAAATCATGAGTCTGAAGGCAGCCGTTGAAGATGATTCCTTGTGGGCATCTTGGTGCACTCGAGGCCCCTTATAACGTTGCCCAATTGAGGCTGACAACCGTGTCTCCAGTGTCACGTAGTACTATATCTATGCCAATTGCCACGTAGTACGATAATTATACCAATTGGCACTGCCGATTTACTGCTTCCTCTGATGCACGGAATTGTGTCTAGAGCAGCTCAAAACCGTCATACATATTATGGCAACACATTACAAGTGCGAAGAGAGGCTACAACTGTTTGCTGAGTAGCTTTAAGCCGCAAAAATCGCAACCTCCCCTGTTCCCAGCCGCCCTCCCCTCTCATGCACTTTCGCGCGCCAACTCCATTAAATAAGTAGCTGCGTGCCACTCAAAGCACCAGGCCTAGCACCTCTACTTACGGCACTGCTGTTGTAATATTGGAAATAGAGGAGATACGCCGGCCGCATGGCCTACGCAGTCAAGGACACTCCCACACTACCCAGCCCAGCAAGTGAAGAGAGCCAACTGAGGTTCTGAACATGTTACACCCCATGTAGTGAGGACTAATCACTAGTAAAGGTAGCTTCCTTTCATAAAGGACCGTTCTCAATTTAAATCGTGCGGGAATGCCAGGCAGATCACAATCGGAATCATTAGGCGGGGTTGTCCAGCTGTGAAGTTCTAGCTACTGCACAACCTTCCCTAAAATTGCATTTTGAAAAACAAACTTCCGTATTGTCAAAATAACTTGGCTTCATGACGACAGGAGCAAAAAGCCTGGAAGAGTGTAGCGCCACCCAGGAAAAGAGATGATCGATTGCGCTGTTTGTTGTGTGTCTGTTGCTTCTGCCACAGCATCTGCTGAGGATAGCTTCGTGATTTAAATTGTTGGTTAGATTATTTCCATCCGCACACAGAGAAAAAAGCATTTAGTTGCGGGATCGGACGTTGTGCCGTTGTCGTGTGTACAGTGCATGTCTGCCAGCTGCCAGCGCGCGAAGCATGTGTCCGTACTTCGCTCCCAGCGCGATAAGCAAGTGCACTTCACACATGATGTGCTTCTCACATTTTCTCATTTTATCTCTGTTTCATTCTTCACCCTCCTTTTCTCCTATCCTTTTGTGTGCGGTGTATCGACAATGACTTGCCCGAGCCTTGCTGGGGTTGATCTTCTTGCAGCTGCAGAATGCTGCACACTATCCAACGGTGTTCGTATGCCCATTATAGGGCTAGGGACATGGCGGCTTCGCGGAGATAGGTTGCGATCTGGGGTCTTCGGGGCGCTTCAAGAGCGATACGCTTTGATTGACACCGCATCAGTGTACGGAAATGAGGAGGAGATCCGGCAGCTCCTGAAGGAGGCAGGTGTGTGGCGAACTTTCGAGCGATAAGTGCTCAGTTAAGCGTTTAATAACTTTAGAGACAGCGGTTAGCGTGGGGGAGCGGTGCCACCTTTGCTGCTGTGCTGCAGGAAACCCCAGGATATTCTTGACCTCCAAGCTGAAGCCCGAAGATGCCCAAGGGACGGAAGCAGTTCAGAAAGCATTTGAAGGCACAATCGAGCGTCTAGGAGTGGAGCAGCTCGACCTGTATCTAATACATTGGCCAGGTGAACGGACTTGTCTGCGTTGAGCTGCCGCAACAGTTGGAGGCGAACAGCTGTCCCAAGATTTCAAGTTTATGTGTACAGTTGTGTTTGCCAAGGCACGTACACACCAGGCTAAGTGCCTAGAACTGTGCGTATTTCAAGTTTATGTGTACAGTTGTGTTTGCCAAGGCACGTACACACCGGGCTAAGTGCCTAGAACTGTGCGTATGTCGCGCTTTCAGGCAGCGGCGGGGTGGACGCCAACAGCCCAGCAAACAGGCAGAGGCGGCTGGAGAGTTGGCGAGCCTTAGAGCAGTTGTATGAGAAGAAAAAGGCAAGCTGTGAATGGTTCGTATCCCTTGCATTCGTTTTCAAAAAAGTAACGGCGTCCCCATGGGGGTGGAGGAGCGAATAGATTGCATTGTGTATGTGTCGCGAACGTGTGCGGTTGTGCTAACGAGAGCACTAGATGGCTGTGGATTTTGAATAGGGGAGTGCAAGGCTTTGGCTCTCTTTGTTTAGGTCCGGGCGATTGGGGTGTCGAATTTCTTGGTGCCGCACATCGAGCAGCTGATGCAGGACGGCGCGAAGATCATGCCAATGGTCAACCAGGTACAGGCGCTTAACACCGATGCGCCGGAACTGCCGCTGACTTGGCTAGTTCGTGAACTTGTGGGTGATAGCAGAAGGACTGGCCGTCCCTGTCTTGTGGCTCCGATCTGGCCAGCCAGTTATTGGGTATTTTGTATATGTGTGCATTGCCTTGTCTGCAGCTTGAGTGGCACCCAATGTGTTGGGTTCCCGATTTGATCCCCTTCGCAAAGAAGCACAATATAGTACTTCAGGCCTACTCCTCGCTTGGGTCCGGGGAAAGCAGGCTGCTTGACCACCCGGTCGTGAAGGAGGTTCGGCACACCTGTACTACCGCTAGTTTACCTTTTACTGACCATGTTGAAAATGTTAGAGCGTCATTTGAGTGTGTAGTGAGGGATCTTGTGGGACGGGACCGGCGTGATGCGTTCACCTGTGTTGGCCGTGGCTTAGGCCGTGTGTAATTTGAGGGCATGCTTGTCATGTTGATCGGTTTATCTGCGGATTCCAATGTGTTTGGGTGTATCAGATCGCGAAGGAAATTAGTCAGCCACCCAGCGTAGTGCTTTTGCGGTGGCCTCGTCAGCAGGGGCTGCTGATCATTCCGTGCAGCACATCCCAGGAGCATCTGAAGGAAAATTTGGCAGCGCTGACCGTGCAACTGTCGGAAGATCAGATGAAGAGACTTGGCGCCATTCATGAAAATGTCAAGCACCGTTTCTGCTGGGACCCTAACACCATCGCATAGAATCTTATCCATTGCCACTTCACGTTTGTCTACGTTGGTTGCGTATTCTTTACTTGTCGGAGGGACTCACAGTCTTTAATGCAGAACAGCCTTTAGTCATTTCCTCCATCGTATTTTTCCCAGCCTGTGATCCTCCAAGTGGCTTCCGTAGGCTGCTAGGTCAGCACACACACACAAGCGCACAGGCTGTCCCTGCGTCCGGAGTGCAACAAGCAGTGCAACAACGGGGAGGCTAGCAGTCCTCGTTTAGCCGGAGAGTTTCTCGCGGCAGGGTTGGCTTGGCAAGCGACTCTGCTGCGATTACTGAAAACCGCAGCGAGCTGCTTTCGTCATGACAACTAGCATCCCAAAATGTTTTTAAAACTTCCAGACAGTTGTACCGCTAAGATCTGCGTTTGTCATGAAAAAACAGCATCATATCGTCCTCCCAGAGGATACAGATGGTTTAGCTATGTGTATGCTGTAGGCGTCTGCTTGCATCGCAGGCTTATGTCCGTATTTGCATTCCTAAGTTCACGAGTCTTTGACCGCGCACTTGCTGCGGTCTTCAGAAGCCGAGGACAGCGAGAACATTGTGAGCAGCGGTAGCGCATGCTCCTGCAAAGAGTACCCCTGCTCTTCGGGAAAAGCTAGAGGCGCTGTTCAGTGTGCAGCGTGCAAGGCAATATTGTCGAATACGGCGAGACCTTCCACGAACTTCGTCACTGCTGCAAGTCGCGTCATCCATGTGGGATATGTACTTCACGTGGACCCCCGTATCATGTGCCAGTGAAAGGCATTTTTCCAACGGAGAACTTCCCACCTGATGAATACCGTAATTATGGCGGTGACACCATCGCAACAAGAAGAATCTTTGTTACAATTTCTGCTTGGCTGAGGCAACGGGACCACGCCGCCCAACAAGAAATAGGTGCAGTGGCAACGCATCTATAGGTTTTAGCAGTAGCAGCAACAACGCAGCGCTCGGCATGTGTCACTCGCCGTGAGCAATGAAGCACATAAGTGGCTAAACTAAAGGGTTTCCACAAAATGCCAGAACAATATTATTACCAGACAGGGACAGGAAAGCCTTCGTCAGTACATCGCACTACTGCGTATAGAATAAGTGCTTACAAGACCACCGCGGTATGATGGTTGACAACCCCTGAAGCTTGTCGCTAGTCGTCAAGCAAATCTACATCTTTCCCACACGAGTTGTGGCTCCCCAGTTAAATGTCGGAGTCCTCTGTCTCTGCGTGAGAGACATCAGGCGCTGTCTGACAAGTCGCTAGCCCCTTTCCGATGCTCCTCAAATACTTCTGAGTCTGACATAGTTATTCAGCTTGTTGGTCTCTAATACTGCCGCAAAACTGTTCAACTTCGCTCCGAAGTTATGCAGTCTCCAGTCGGCCACTTCAGTAATTCCACAGTGTTTGTTTCAGTGTTTGCTTAGAGCAGCGCTGTTGATGAAAATCATCACATGGTGTGCTCCGCAGTAGCAGTGGCGATGCGATAAAACCGTACTTTTCTGGCGCCATTACGTGATGCACTGCTGCTGCTACGTAAAAAAAAGTCACTACTGGCGCTATCGCTCTGTTTCGTAAATGGGGAGTGAAACGCAGCAAACGGCTCCGTGCAGCTATATAAGTAGTAACATTTTTTACGTAGCACCAGCACTGCATCACGTAATGGCACCAGAGAAGTACGGTTTTATCGCATCGCCACTGCTACTGCGGAGCAGCATGTATTTAATGATTTTCGTCAACAGCACTGCTCTAAGCAAACACTGCCGAATTACTAAAGCGGCCGGCTGGAGGCTGCAGAGCCAAGTTGAACATCTTTGCAGCAGTTTTAGAGACCCCGCAGTTATGCTTTCGTTCCCAGATGCCGCTCTTCACCTCCCTACAGTTCTCTACTTGCACATAGGTGCGTGTATGCACGAAGTGCGCTGCCGTCCATATCTCTCCCAGGAATATTACACATTCATCAATGTGCATGAAAACACATCAACCATGTACTTTATATAGAAGGCAGCGTGCATAGGGTGTTCACCATCACTGCAGTGCTGCTGAGTGAAGCTTCTGCTTGTTTGATCTTCCTCACTATCCTTCTGGTTGTATTCTGAACGCGAGGCTTAATAAAACAGGTTAAAACGTATGAGCTGGTCGATTAGCGTGACATAGCAAGTGGCGAATCTATTCCAGCAGGTGACGAATCTCCTGCGACTACGCACTACGAGGAATTCTGAAGATCAAAACAGGATTACTGACTCGCTAGTTCTCTACAGTGCACCATAGGAAAGCACACCTCTTTGCCTCTAACATCTCTGATTGTATAAGCGCATGACCTTTCAGTGATCGCTTGCACACTAAGTAGGCTGTGTGTGAAGTTGCATGCACAAACAGAAACGCATTCAAAGAGCGAAAATGAATGAAACTGTCTGTCATTCAATCTGAGTCTAGAACTGCCACCCTTACCCTGTACATCTTTCCACGCCACTCTGTATGCCTCGAGGGATGGCGCAGTTAATATCCTTGCTCCCAAATGCTTGTGCCCACATGCACTGCAATATGTGAGCAGAAATGGAGAGAAAATGACAGGGGAAGGGGAGCGGACAGTTTAAGAACTAGTTCGCGGGTGCTGGGCTTCTATGCCGCGGCAAAGAGAACCCTCCCACAAACAACAAAAACGTTTGCCCGTAACCAGAGCTTACTTCAAATAAAGTTAAGCTGTGAAATTAACGGCCTTTTTTCGGCTTCTTCAACTCCACCTCCACGAACTTTTTCGGAATGCCAAAGTGCGAAATCATCAGCTCAGCGACTGGCCGCGCAACGTTGCCCTGTGCAGAGTAAAAATAAAAAAATCAACTGGTAACAATAAGCAGCAATTGCTCTATGTATTACTGAAAATATTTAATATTGGCTACTGGCTCAACCGCCGATCTATTATCCATTGTTTGGGGGCACGTTACGGACGAGTACTGCTGCTGTGCCTCTTCACCCGCGCCCTAGTGATAAAAGATATGTCTCCCCCCAAAATTTGAGCAAATTTAAATGCATATGCATACTTGGGAGGTAGACCACGGTAGTGCAGTTAAGACACCGATGTTTTTTGTCACAAATCATATTTGACGTATACATACCTGTACAGAAACAGCGGAAACCACCTTCGAGCCAGGTGGGGCATAAACAGAGGCCGATGCTGCCAATTTCTTCTGCAAGAATTCTGCAACAGCTTTTGGCTCGACCAGAAAATTTGTGACGTTCCTAAAAGGGCAAAAGAAACACGAAACTACAACCTGGTTGCATCAGGATATATGAAAAAATGCCGCAGCGAACAGCAAACCAACCTTGTTGCTGCTTTACCTCTTCGTGTTCCCGTTCCTACTTGTGCAGCTCAAGTACTCGTTATCGCTGCTTGAGTTATTACTTTTGGTGCCGGGAGCTCACGCTATGTGTGTGAGGTGCTTCCGTCCCCCTTGCTTCTCCTCCACTGAAATCCGGACAGGGTTGCATGCACCCCGCCTGCAGCAGCCACGAGCGTGCACAAAAAAGCAAGAGAACTACAAAGCGAACGACCGCGGTAGGATGAACCACAACAGCACCAAACGCGCCTGCAAACTAGCGTATAATCAGATCACTTCGTCAGCAGGCTTGTACATACACGATTCTTCCCTGAAGTAGTGGCAGCTCTCCCTCATCTCTAAGGACTGCATGGCAAGGCTGTGCAGTATCCATCCACCGCACAAATATTTCCCCTTTATCCATTACCAATTTTTCCTGCCCTGCTGCCTTTGCCTCCTCTCTTTCCTCCTTGGTCAGGACTGCGAACGAATCCGCAGCAAAAGGAACGGCAATATCTTTGTCTACTTTGTTCCTGGCCGTCATTGCTTCCACTCTCCTCTTGGGCTGTGTCCGTGTGTACAGGCGTGTTTCCCGTATGGGTGTCCGGTTGCCTTGCAGGTCATCAAACTTTATTGAGGGTTAAGCCAGAGAAGCCTGAAATACTGATTGCAAGTTGAGACTGACCTGCGTCCGCCAAAAGAGGATCTATCGCAACGGTATTTTCCCTACTCCCCGAAGTGCATCGCGCCGCCTGTGTCTCTTCCTCGCCTTCCTCCTTCTTGGCATTTTGCACATCGAAGTACTTCACAAGCACCTGCCGGTATTCCTCAGCTGTAAAGAAAACATTCCTAAGACACCGCAACCCACAACTCCACGGCTAACAGATATTCCACAAGCACACAACCCCTCAAAAGCTCCTGAAACTTTACAGCAAATGCTGTGCAAGGCAAAAGCACATCTCTCTCTTCGTCCCTACCACTCTCTACTGTCGCTTCCTGCCCTTCACTTACTTCCCAGTGCGAACTTCAACTGCTGCGAAAATTCTGCAGCACTTCGCAGGAGGTGCGCAAAATTCAAAGACGAGCGGACCTGAGAAATGGCAGCGTGGGGAAGAATTAGATTCTAAGAACTACGATGCCAGCTGCATAGCTAGTCGCGAGCCCTCAGTGCGTGCAAGAGGAATTCAGGCAGACAAGGAGATAGCGACATGCAGCAGTAATACGGACGTTCAAATTGGTCAAAAAGAAGAACGAATCGGAACAAATATAAACAAAGCAAGCTCTGTCTACTATGAAATTCTTGTCTGCTGCCTACCTTCATCTCCAGAGCGTGCAGTCCCCGCAGCATTAGGTGCATCTCGAGTTCCTTCTTCTCCTCCTGCTGCTACTGCTCCTGAAGCAGTTGGAGATGTTGCAGCAGCAGACGCTCCCGCCCTCTCCACAAGTTTCTTTTTTTGTGATTCGGGGACAGGGGTGTGTTTGCAGTAGTCGGGATGAGATCGGTTTATTTTCACGACCGACACGATGCCCCTCTGCTCCTTCGTCTGTATTAGCTTCTTTTTTGTGGCCCCTTGTATGAACTTCCCCAACTGTACATACACCCCAGCACTGCGTTCCGGAGCAGGAATCAACACTGCGTCTGTCAAAATACGCCTTTCGTGTGCAAGCAAGCCTTTCGTGTGGGCCGTCTCCTGGTCGATGCCTAATTGAAGTGCAATAGGGTGGGACGCGGCTCAAAAAGACTGAAGAAAATAAGTGCTATGCAGCCATCAGCACCGGCCAGCAATAGCAGCAGAAGTGAACTGACTTTCTTTGCTGACGATCGTCGAATATCAGGGGCTATGAATGGGCCGTCTCCCTTTGCGATTTTTGTGTAAAAGATTGCTGGAGCCTCTGTCGTAAGTTTACTGTAGCGACAAGGACAGAAAAGAAATACTGTATATATACATATACATATATTGACAGTACTCAGGAAGCAGGCGCACCCTTGAATGCACGCATATCTGTTGTGACCAACTACTGAGCACCGCCACTTCAACGATGCGCCCACTCAACTTGCCTGTATAATGCAGAAACGTCAAGGGGTAGTTGGTCGTCCGAAACAGCATGCAACGTCTCTAACAAACATAAATCAAGGTATCCATCCTGCTCCTACGTAGATAAACACATACACGCGCCCAATGAAATACGTGCACTTACGTATTCATAAGCACACATACGCGGCCTTGCGGAGATTGATAGATGTACTGTTCTACGAAAAGCCTGTATGCGTGTGCGCCTGCTTGTGCGTGTATGTGCCTGCGTGCGCTCCACTCTTCACTTTTATGCACAGATGCATGATGTTCTTTGCAGTCAAGTGCAAATGCCTTTCGTTTTGTCAAGATGAATCAACAACTACTGCACACAAGTACGCGGAATTAGGCAAAATGTGCCAGATACAGGTGACTACTGCACACCTGTAATGATTGACCTTCAGTGCACAATAAAGATGGGCCTTCAGTGAACATGCCCATCTGTCAACCTGGCAAACCAATGAGGCACGTGCAAGCATTTGAGGGCATCTGACCTCAACGGTTAGCTCTGACTCCAATGTGTTAAGGGGAGCGTCCTCTCCTGAATCAAGCGGGGGGCAGGTTTGCCTCCCTCCTTCCGCTGCATCCTCTACCTCCGCAGCAGCACATGAGGCAGCAGCAGCTGGGGACGCAGAAACCGGCGTGGGGGTGGGAGCATCTGTGTAGGCCAACTCTTCGCTCTCTTTCGCAGGAGCACCCGCATGGGAGGCTTCTGATTGCTGCGGTTGCTGCTTCAGCTCCGGTTGAGCCAGAAACCCCGGCAAGGACTCTGAGGGCCCCATACCGCAAGACGCCAGCAACTCCGCGTCGTCTCTCCCACTGAAGACCTGAGTGGAGGTGAAAAGTGGGGGCAAAACAACCTGCTTCCCGTGGTTCCTATCAATCAGCAGCAGCAAAAAAAAGAAGCAGCAAAATCAATGGCAGCAGTAATAGCAGAAGCAGCACAAAGTACAGCAAAAGCTAGTGATATATTAACTCCAGGTCAAAAGCTACATACAGAAGGCGACTGTGACGGAGAGGGACACCCGAAAACAAAGTGCGGCAGACTTGAGGCGAAATAGGCTTGAAACTAAGCACGGAAAGGCAGATGGGACGAAGAGAACAATGCAACGGAGGGACAGAGAGGCATGCCCAGATTCACAAGTTGCCCTGAGGCAAGAAGGGATCACGAGCTGCGAAGTTGGCAGGGAGGTCAAGACATGGGAAGATACAGAGGTTTCGAACAGAGGCGAAAATGTCAAACTGAGCATGCAAAGGATTCCTGTATCCAAAGACTAGGTAGCAACAGCAACAACCGGGCTGTACATCAAGACCTGGCACAAAAAGACACAGGCAGCTGAAGGGCCACACACAAGGACAAGCATTAATCTCACCACAAGGAGTCTCCCAAACGATGCATGAGATCAATGGCCTTCCCTTTTTCACCCAAAAGTTCTAAGGAGGGAGCCCTTGTAACAGCTCGCCCCACAGCAATGGGCAATGCGTTCCCGGCAACACGAACGGCCCAGAGATCACCAAACTCGATTGAGTTAACACCCGCTGCTCTCGCTGCAGCTATGGTTAAGGGCCGACAGACACCCGGAAGCATCAAGTCGGCCCCCTTTAGCACAAGCTGAGATACTGGAGACGGCACTATCATGCACGGAAGCATCTGTGGACAGCGCCACAGACCGTGAACCTGCAAAAGCAGCAACACCGCTGCAGCAAAGTAAATATTGGAGGCATATGGCAAAGATAGAGACCTCACGACGCGAGAAAGTATTCAAACAGGGGAGAGCAGGCTAGGGAACTGCAAATGGAATAACGTAGATGGGAGGCCTGTGCCTCTAAAACATTAAGGTGTGTTGTAAAAGGCAGTAATATGTATCACTGACTGTAGGGAATAAAAATCCATTTATTGCCGCGAGTAAAGGAATGTCCCCGACACAGTACAAATTGCATTTGTTGGCGCTGGTACAGCTCATTAGCGGTGCGAGGGCACCAGGCTGTTGGGGGCCTCCTCCAGCTGGAGCAGGTGCTTGAGGCAGATTGACGCGGGTGATTGTCACCCCCTCTTTTTGGGGCAGCAGTATGTCCGCATTCTCTTCAGTAAGAAGCGGGAAGGAACGCAAAAGGGTTTCCCGGAGTCTGCCAGGCGCCAGGGTGACACAGAAGGAGACAAGTAGAGCTGTACTGCACTCTTCTCACGTATGAGATTACCTTTTACCCCCTTGGGCTTATCTCTCGCGTACTGGCTGCCATTTAGCTGCTCAGATTCATCCTTACACGTACGCCATTACACCATTAGCAACATGGTTTCATGGCTGCCTATCACCGTACCAACAATGAGTATTCCACCTCCAGCCCCGCGGCGGTGCTTTGCAACCAATTACAGGTGAGTATTAGTGGCAAGCTAGCTACATAGAGGATGTCTTGGGTAGGTGCCGAGGTACGCGATGGTACTGAGACTCACTTTTTTCTGTCCTTGTTCCCTAGTTGTGAGTGGTTGCCGGCTGGAAGAGGCCGACGAAACATTGTGAGTTGGCTCCTCAATTCTTCGTACTGCAAACGAAACAAATCCCAATCTTCAGATATAACCTTAACTGGAGGCAGAAGGCTAACGCCCTAGCTAGCAAGCAACCCACGATGCACGCCGCCTAAGCATTCCCATGCCCAAGTCGATCCTCATAGGTAACGCTGCCGGCGTCATGTCGGAGCCGGTAGGATCTGCAGCAGCTTCATGACGTGCCCCTGCTTTTCTTTGACTTCGAATTGCGTAGAACAACGGCTGTTTGAGCTGATGGACGTGAACAATAACTCACCTTGCTATCTGAGCAGCTGCCAGTGCAGCTCTTCACGAAGAACAGATGGTAAGCCTTGGCTGACTCCTTATGTTACGGGATAGCTCAGTGTGTAGGTGTATATGTTGCGTCTCTAAAAATTAGAAAATTGTGCTCTTGAGCGAGAGCGGAGAAACGTAGGCAGCAGAGGTGCAGAGGCTCCCAGATGGCTTGAAAGACGTTTCTATGCAACTCCTACACTTCTTAGCATACCGTTTAGACGGAGTGCTGAATGTTTTAGCTGAATAAAGGAGGGGGGCGAGTACGAGATCCTTGAGGGCAACAAGATCTCGCGCCCCACAGCTGGTCTCACTGGCGGCCCCAGCTGCGAGCAGCTCGCAATATCAACTTAGTTTATCTTATACGTGTCTCTCACAGAAAAAATATTAATATTTTTAGTTGAAATAATAAAGCAAATGTCAGTTAATACCATGTTGGTCCTGTTGCCGTCTTTGATCCCACCGACAGCACTGCATTTTACTTCATCACCGAGCTCCCATACTGGATGCTCTAGGGTTAGGGTCATGAACTACAGATCCTCTTGTATGGAGTGCCCTCTAAGCAGTTTTCGTGTTTTCTGCAATATAGTATAAGGGCATGTGAAGGGTCCTGCAGAATGTTATAGAATTAGTCCGGCTTTTTGCCCTCACTGCTCTTACAGAGGCAAAGCTACGTAACCGTTGGCACTTTTTCCTACCAGTTCTGATCATGGACCACGTATTCATGGGGTGTGTCGCTAACTATTCTTGGTCAAGAAACACCGATATGCGTGAGACTGGGCAGATGGGCATACCTAGGGCACGCGGGCCAATGTCTTAATACCGTGGACTGATATGAAGTTTAGCTTTTGATGCGGCATGAAGTAAGTGGTACATGTCTCCAGAAGCTCGCCTAGATATAACTGCAAGGAACTCGCGGTAATTATGTGGCATACATAGAAACATCCGTGACTGTGGGAGACAAGCTCGCCCACTTCCTAGCTTCCATCCCTTGGCCTCAGGAGCTAGTGCCCCACTTAAGCCAGGGAGAATCAACCGCAAATACTGACGGCACGAAGCAGTGGACATAGTCAGTATTGTCTGTATTTTACTTGAAGGTTTCACATTTAAACTGCTTCGCTTTGTCTTGGAGAGAGGCTCACAAAATCTACGACGCAGACGGTAACAGGCTAAAACGGTGCAGGCCTTGCTCTCTAGTTGCACTGCAAGGACTAACTCAGCGAATATGCATATCAGCTACAAATGGCAGAGAGAAAACGGAACACACTTCACAATTGTGTTTAGCCAAGTGTTTTTATTTCTGTTATCTGCCTGTCTAGACAAAGATATGTCACGCAGTTTCCTTGTGACTTCAGTACATATTAAAATACAGAAGCAACTCAGCAATTCCTGCATTAATGTGCAGAAAGAGGCCTGCGCTAAAACAAAAAATTAGGCTGGGACGCAAACACAGACGAGATGACGTGGGAAAGAAACGCCACTCATTGATGCTTCCACCTGTGTTACATTCTAGGCACGCTGAGGTGCTGCTTTCCCTTTGGCTTTCGCTGGCGTCTTCGCCTTTGCCTTTGCCTGAGGTTGATACTTGGCGGCCCACTTTGGCGTATATCCCACGAAGTGAGACAAACGTATGCACTGCGAGTTGCCGCAATTCATGCTGACTTGTCCCGGTGCAATCTGTAAAAAGCATTACAGAAAAAGCCTTAGATCAATCTGCTGCATGGAGCGTGCATAGAAGTTACAAAAGCAAATGACCACTTTGTTTTGTGTTTTACTATAAGTGAAGAGCTGGCCCCATGCTTGTGCGTAAGTGTACCCCTGCCCAAGTTCTTAGGTGTCTCGGCGACTACTCTGGCTGGTGTGTGTATTTGTCCTCATGTTGTTCTTTTCTTTATCTGGGAAGCGGCACGTTGTAAAATTATAAAGCGTTCAACGAAGTCTCCGGGTAATTCCATACCTGTTTGAGCATCTTGAGGGAGTCGTCATCAGCGAACAGAAATGACAAGAGTTTGCAGACATAACTAGGAACCGTTTTGTCTTGGCCTCTTTTCTGCACCTGAATTACAGGCAGGCCCTGCTCCATTGAAGTGTCTCCGTGCCACAGCACACAAGGCGCACTAGGGGAAGGGTCTCCCAGGATAGGGTCATCTGTAAAGCTGACGCTCCTTTAAGCGAAAACAACAAAACACATACGCGCATAGTGCAGAAAGGCCCGAAAAGGCGACAAAGCTAACAGTGGCTCATTTAGCAAGCACAAGGCGCCTGCCTACAGCATAAATAAGAACAGATAAGAAATAATCGCAGACGTTAGGGCTGCAAGCCGGCTAGTAAGCAGGTTTAGTTCTCCGCAGCTTACAGGGCAACAGTTTTAAGAAGACCGAGTACCTCATCCCTTTCCCAAACTTTTGCTGCTCTTTTTTGAACGTGAGTGATCCATTTCTTGGAGAGTAGCTCCGCATTGGCCTCGCTGTGGGGCTGAAAATTTGGCTTTTCTGGAGGGCTTTCTACGGCCTCTACTTCTACGGGCTCTTCCTCCCAAGACTGCGTAGATGCTGAAGACTTCGACGCCAGAGTGCGATGGCTGTGTAACTCGGATGTACTGTTGCTGCTCCCCCAGAAGTTGCCGCAGCAGGAGCGCCAGCAAGACATTTCAGCCCAGGTCGAAAATAAGAAAAGCTAGCCAATACAGGGGGAAGCGGGAAAGTGTCAAGGCAGCAAGACTGGGTCCAAACGTCCCCGAGGCCACAGTTGGTGCAGGCGGCCAAGAGGGGATAAGGGGGATGCCAGTACAACCTCAGCTCCATATCCATGCGCTCCGAGACTGCCACAGTCCCTATAAATAGGTGTTAAACTCGAATATATACTTCAAGGGCGATCACAGCAAAATTGTGCTGGGGCCTCCAGCGCTTCAGGGGGCCCAGTTGTGTCATCACCAGTTGCGGGTGAGGATGACAGTAATTGCGTATTCCAAGTTTCCTTAAATGAATTTTACAACGTGAAAAACGCTATAATTTGAAAGCTTCAGCGGCTTGACAATACAGACACCGCATCGACCCCAAGAATCGAGCCACGGGCCGCGAAGAATGACCAGCAGGAAGGAAAGGGACGAAAAAAGCAACCCGCTGCAAATTTAGTGCTTCAAATTTACAAACTGTACAATATTCAGCATTTTGAAACTCCTCAAAGTTGGAGGCAGACAAGATATACGGCCCTCTGGAGCATCGAGCAGTGACGGTGTTGCTGGCTCTGGCTGCTTGAGCAAGCAGAGTTGAGCGTAGTCCTGAAAATGCCGAACCCCTTACACGGGAACCTATCTCTCAAAGGCTTCAACAACTTAAAAAATGGCTTAACGCATCTTCTACCTCCTTCTTTTTGGGATCATTCACGAAAAACTGCTATTGGGTGGCGCAACGTCCGCTCAGTCACGACTCAAACTGGCCGAGGCGTTTGACCGTTCCCGCGCAAGGTCTCCAGGCGTCTGATCACCCAACGCTTAAGCAACAAATAAATTTCTCTAATATATCAATTTAATTCGCAATGCGCCTTTGGTGCAGGAGATAAACTGAAAACGCGAAAGTGCACACATAGGTCGCTGACGCTAGGTGCCCATGAGTCATTGAGGAAGCTAACAGTTAAGCCTCAAGGGACAAGCGAGGAGGCAACTCATGGAAGCATCTTTGCTTGAGTTTGTATAACTAATTTGCGGCACAAACTGGAACCCCAGGGGCGCTTCGCAGTCAAGGCAAAAAAGCCAACACATTCAACAATCGCACAGCATTTGTCAAGGGGCCTTCGGCCACGACTTCATCTCTACAATTAGAACTCCACCTGCAATAAAAGTTACCAAGTAGCTCACAAAGTGCCAGAAAAAAACAAATATTCAGCGTTTGCTCGATCAATCACAAAGTAGTTCGCTATCGAACAAGCGTAGTAATATCCTATGAAAGCCTCCATCAACGCGTTGAATCCCCTTCACGTTACTTTGCTCGGTCTCTAAATCCGTGTATGAATTATAACATTTCATACTGCGGGCAAAGTGCCACTCAAGAGGGATTATGGACGCCTGCAGAGTAGACGCTGACCGCAGCTCCAATAAACCGTGTCGCTCTGAAAAACATATTTCTGCTTAGTTCTTTTAAAATTCGGCCAGGTGACGTTAATTCACAGTATATCTTGTTATGCATGAAATTCCTATAAAGGCGCCACTGAGGCACACTGAATTGCCATGCCCAGGAACAATCCAACGCTCTCGCATAGCTGTGCTTGAAGTCTCCCAGCAATGAGAGTGCGGCTCCAAGGGTAGTGATACACTTCAAAGACTTGTCTTCCTGTTGCTGTTGCATACTTTTAGCCAGCCACGTGCAACTTGCATTCCTTAAGTCTCAAAATTCCATAGGCTTTGTAGGTGCGACTTCCGTCGCTTCAGCACTTGTCATCGCTTACTAGGGCAAGCTCAGGAGGGTTTCGATTCCTCTACCCTGATTTGACATATATGCTACGCCGTTCTAAGTCATGCTATGGAGTAGTGGCCTCAACGTAGCATCATAGACCATGGGGTCTGCCTTGCAGACCTGTTGCGCGAGCAAGCCACCTAGCAACTACAAAAGCTGAGGCGACATGCCTTAGTAGTGCCTGAACTGCAAAGAAGAACTGCGCAGAAGCACCCGAGCTACACGTCACGGACCAAAAGAAGTTAGGCTCGTTGTCCTCATCCAATGAGCGGGCAGCGAGGACCAGGGAGCCAGCACCGACACCATGAGTTGCAGTTTCAACATTGGTTATTTTTCTGATCACAGCTCTCCAAAGAATCATTATAAATAATTGATGCAAGAGACAATACTTTATGACGAGAAACAATGCCCGTTGTAGAACTCTGCAAGCCCTCCCCGTCGGCCGGCGCTGCGAGATACAGCCGCGGCACTCGCGGGCCCTTTCAGGCACGAAATGCCCTCAACAGGAAGAACACACCTGAAGCCTTTGCAAGCTAGCTCTGGTTGATACCTGCGTTGCAGTAGCCCCACTGTTCTTTTGTTACCTAGTTTCCCCTTCTGTGAGGCTGCCACGCGTCCATCTGCTACCCTCTAACGAGATACCCATAGTGTCATCAGCCTACTGTCTGCCTACGGAATTCTCAGAGCACTTTAGAGAAGCCGAGGAATCTATAATGCAGTCGATTGTGTCTCCTTTTTAGCGGTACCTCACGAGCGTAACAGCAACTTGTTGGGGACGCCGTCGCTGTACGTTGTTTCCTTTTAAAGAAAGAAGCCTAAGGATGGCCATCTTGGGTGCGCCTCCATAAGCTTAATCAGGTAGCCTTTTAACAGGGGAAAAGCACCGTTAGACACGTGCCCAGGTAGGGACCCCTCTCCGCACTGTCTTGAACCGATTTTGTAGTGGTCAGAGGAGTATTCAGTTAAAGTAATCTTACACTGATATGGAGGCATGCTGTCCCCTGTCAGGGCAAGCAAGCTGAGGGAATGCTATATTTGTTGTTCTGTATACACAGCGATAAAGGATTAGCTATCAAACATTTCCAGCTTCGTTCTGAAGCAGTGAAGAGGCTCCGCATAGGCTGTTGCCACGAAGTCCTTACCTGGTGACAAAGTGATTTTCCACTTTTAAACCAATATTCCTGATTTTATGTATATTGTTCATGCGTTGAACTGCAACGGGAGCAGGCAAGCAGGAAGTGAGAGCAGCAATCGCGACTTGCCCTCACCCTCGAGCCGTCTGAACCACTCCACACCACTTCAGACATTGGGAATTAAAGACCTATCGCATCAAGAGCATTCCACTTGTAAGAAGGAGGGGAGATGCATTAAAATATTGGCTAGAAAGGCGTAACAATTCCTTCCGGCCACCCACTCACAGGCTTGCCTTTATAACTACAGCATGCGTCACAGCACCGTAGCTCAGTGGGAGAGTGGGGGGCTCATAACCCCCAGGTCCATGGATCGAAACCATGCGGTGCTAGTCCCGTACCCTTTTGTTCCGTCACAACACTGTTTTATGAAGTGACTTCAAGCGCAAAACTGCAAGAAATTTCTTTGTGGGAAGCCACCTGGGCCCATTAAACGTGTTAGGCAAGGCTGAGTAGGCTTCCACAATGAACCCTGGTCAACCCGGCAAGGCAATAAACACAGTAGGTAGCCAAAAGGTAGATAGGCTGCACACTAGTGCAAGCGCTCCTTAAGCCGATAGGAAATATGGGTTCCACCAGTGCTGGTGCATTTCATGCGCGACTCGAAGGCGCGCTGGTGCTCCAAATAATCGGCTAATGCCCTACGTTGCCCCACCCTCGCCGAAAAGGCAATCAATACCATTACAGCACACTAGGAGCTGACAACACCTTGCTGACAATACCTTGCTAATGGTACCTCTGAATTCCTAAAGAGAGGCCTCCTCACTTTGAGGGATGTCACGTGCCTGTAGAGAACATCGACGCTCAGTAAGGTGCGCGCACACCCGTGCTCCCGTTGAGCAAGAAAAAGCTTTTCAAGTGGCTTTCTGTTCTGTTTTGACTAAATTTTGTTCTAGCGGGGGCCAAGTTAAGAACTCTGGCCTCCATCCAAAAGGGGGAACCCTGCTTGATGCCTTCACCCACAGCAACACGAGAATACTATAGGTCCGACATTCCTGCTGCCGCAGCTGAAACTGCTTTCGCTGCTAAGCTTGGTTGCCTCCCTGTTGAACAACTGGCACGACTGCAAGCAGCTCGCACGCACTTCTGTTGCGGCTTTGTTTGCTAGCCTGCTAGCTAGCGGCTTCGTCTGTGTCCTTTCGCGCTTTCTACGTCCAAGAAATCCAACAGGCCTTTCAGTTGTTTGATTCTTCGCAGCAACAAAGAGCAAGCTGATTTGCACCAGCACCTGCAACCGGAGCCCTTACTGTTGTTTTGAGTCCATCATTTTCTCCACGTTCACCTGATGAGGGGTTCCAGAATAGGAAAATACGACGGCCTCTGGGGCCCCTTTGTCCCCTAAAGCCCCACACCGCGTCTAGGTCCCTTCACGACTTCTATCGACGCAGAGTTCTCCGTAATGCGGGAAATCTCTTGCGGACCACTGCGTAGAGCGCTACCACCAGGCAAGACGCACAAGCGCCCCAGTTGTGACTCCAGAAGACGGATAGTGAGGCCTGTCGGTGACCGCAGCCCCTAGATGCAAGTTTCCAACGACACAGTTTTGCCTATTCTCATCAATTCTGCAGCCCCTGCACGGAAGCACTCGAGCTATTCACCGCAGGGACCTGCTCTACCTGATCGCACTTTAGACTCCTTATGTCCATTAGAGGAGTCATTTGCTGCAGCTAAGGGAGCTTGCATGCTTGCGGCACACAAAGAGACAGACACAGGGTGACCCAAAGCACTGCTGCTGGTTTTGTCTCTGCTGCTGTTCCTTCTGCCACTGCCGCTGAGGCTGAAGCCTGCATTGCTAGTGTTTTTCCCGTGTGTCTTCGCATAGCTGCCGCGAAAGCCCTGGTGTCTCTTGACTAGCCGGAGGATTTCACAATTCTCAAGATAATCAGGACCCTTTTAGTCCAACTTGTTGTTGATTTTGTTGCTGCTGTTGCTTTTGCCGCCTCCCCTTTATCGGAAGGCTTCCCGCGTGCCCAACGCTACCTCCTGTTGCTGCTTTTGCAGCTGCCCT